TATCCAATGAAGCTGTTGCCAAACCTAATCCAGATAGCAAGATATTAAAGGTGCATAATTGTTAAAACATATCTTTCCTTGGACCTGGTGATCTACTTTGATTTCATTGCTCTTTAAGGTGTACATTCTTAGGCTAGGCCTTATCAAATCCTTTCAGGAACAATGATATAAGGAGTAAATAATTGCACACCTTTTTATTTTGCCAACATGTTCCTTTTGCCTAAGTGTTTTATTTTTGGGGATAGGAAATCCCGGGGTCGTATCAATGATGCCTTTCGCCTGGATGACAACAGCCTGGAGTTTCTGGGTATTCAGCCTACCCTAGGACCCCCTAACCAACCACCTGTCACCGTATGGCTGATTATTTTTGGAGTCGTGATGGGAGTGGTAGTAATTGGTATTGCCGTGCTCATCTTCACTGGGATCAGAGACCGAAAGAAGTAAGTGAGCTTTCCTAGAGGTATCTATCCTAAAACAGAAAGGTTTAGGGAAAACTAATTAGAAAATTTGCAGTAAGTGGTAGGTTGTAAGGATAATTGCCACATTTCATCATCACTTCACCTACCTAGTAAGCCCTACCACACAGTAGAGACCCAGCCCGAGGTTTACCAGTATTCCCTGGTAAACCCAATCCTGGCCACAGCATCATTTTCCTACTGTCAAGAGGCAATGAAAACTCAGTAGTGGGATGGTTTAGGGGATTATCCTCACTGATGAGTCCTCCGTGGTCTAGCCTGGATATTTGATAGGTTTGAACTGTGAAACATTCAAGAATGAGCTCTGAGATTTGCTTCAAACTGCTACTCTTTAATCATCTTCATTTTTTATCAGTTAGCACAGACTCACTGTCATCCCCTTAGTTCATGGGTCAGGGACCCTTTAATTTGTTCTTGAGTTGAAGGTCCAAGTTCATTGAGGATTTAAATCACTAAAGACCTGGTTTATGGTCTTGCTCTGCCACTAGAATATTTTTTCCTGGCCTTGAGAAATTATTTACTTTTGTTGGGCTAATGTAATTAAGGTTAATAATATGTTATAGCACCTAATTGAACTCATACGCACACTTTTTGAACACATTATTGATGGAATTTTTACATGCATTAGTCATTTTTGCTCAATTTTCTTCACTATATTTTTTTAAGTTCCTCAAAGTAGCTTCATTTTTAAAAATAGCTATTAAATAGAATCTATCCATATGGTTAAAATTTTAAAAATACCAAAGGATACTTAGAGTCTCTGTCACTCTTTGCATCCAACTTCCCTTCATAAAGCCAACCCAAATTATCAATTTATTGGAGACCTGTTGTATTAGATTCTTCTTTTTAGTAAGTCCCCCAGGTAATTTGTGTGCACATTACAGTTTGAGAAGCACTCTTCCACATACTAAAAATTTGCATATGAGATACTATTCCAAAGTTAATTCATTAAATACATTATTTGGGGACACCTATCCTTCATGCCACACACAATGTAAATAGAAGATACACAGAAAAATAACACTGGATAACCTGCTCAGTACTTTCATACATGAATATTTTCAGAAAACCTATGGTATATCTGTGTAATTATCTTCATACATATGTAAAACTGAGATTCAGAGAGGCTAAGTAACTTTTTCAAGTTTACACAGCTAATAAGTAACACATTGGTATATATATATACCCAGTTTCCAAAGCTGGTTGTTGTACCACAAAGCTGTCCTACCCTTATCTTTATACTTTGGAAGTTGCTAATGTAGTAGGGAAGCTCTTTAATATGAGGTGATTGGCTAAATGACCACTGAGTTCCTAATAATAATAATAATAATAATAAATATTATTGAGGGTTATATGCTAGGTAATGTCAGTGCTCTGCCAGTAATAATGCTCTCCAAGCATTATTTCACTGTCTTCACATAGTTGCCATCATTTTCTGAATAGGCAAACTGAGGCACAGAGACTCCCCTTTCTCTGACCCCAGAGCTCAAATCCTAACTCGTCTCTTAGGCTTTGCCAGCCATGGTGACAATCTTGGAGCTAAAAAGTGAACCCAATGCACTGTAAGTGTTTATAGTCCATTAGTAGGGGACTGATATGCAAACAAATACACCAGTGATTATATGTTGAGATGTAAAAGATGCCTGGGCCCAATAGGGCCCAAGGGAGGCAGTGTCATTCTAACATCACTATATTAAGGTGACTTTATTTTATTTAACAGGAAAAAACAAGCAGGAAATGAAGAAAATCCTTATTCTTCTGTGAATTTGAGTAAAGGAGAAAATAATCCAGGATTCCAAAGTGGTGACGACGTTCAAACTTCATTTTAGAAAAATCCATTTTATTCCCTCTTGAGGTGATTTTATTGCATGAAAATGTTAATTTCACATTAAAGAAAGTATGAGATTATAAAGATGTCATTAAACATCAAAACCATGGCTTTGTTCAGTAAAATTGTCCAAAGAAGACATGCTGAGGAGAGGGCCTCTTTACTTGCATTGCTTTTAGTATTTACTTCTGCCTCAAAATTTGAGAAAGTATGTCTTTGGGTAATAGAAATGCAAGTGTCTGTTGTGTTGCTGGAGTTGGGAAAAAGGGCATATATTGTGGGAGGATTCAGTGTAAGAGCCTTATATGGAGACTAGATGGATAGCTTTTAAGAACAGTGCATGTAAACTGATGGAGCTGCAGAGATTGAAAATGACACACATTGTTCACTTTATTTTAATTCAAGTGTAGAGTATGACATTGTTTTTTTCATGTTAACCTAAATCTAAGTACGATAGCAATTTGCCCAGTGATAATTGGACTACCATGTGTTCCTTAGGGTGACAAGTCTAAAGAAGAGAGAAGAATCCAGAGAGTGTCAGAAAATGTTGCCTTCTCACTTCCAAGCTACTTGATCAGCATCTCCCTGACAATATTAAAGCAGCCCCTGGGGCCCCACCTAGCACACCTGATAGAAACTCACTTCCATTGTTCTCTAACTGTGGAGTGAATGGAAATCCAACTGCATGTCACCCTCTGAAGTGGGCACTTAATCTCTTAAATCTTTTGTTTTTACCCACAATGTCTGAGTAGCACTGAGCACAAAGCATATACTCAATAAATACTAGATTTGCACACTCCTGTGGTCTCATGGGTACTTATGTACTGGGGTTTCTGTGGATTCTGTCCCCTTCTAGGGACTGGGTTGCCGTTTGAATGTCTGGGACCTTTGACCTCTCAAATGTCTTAGAATGTATTCCAATTTTAAAAATTTATTTATTGTATGAAGCAATTGAAAATTCAGTCTAAAAAAGTTATGTTAAGATGATATATACCCTTAGGTTAGGAACCTGATGTGATATATATATATATAATTTCAGAGCCCCTAGCCCAGTTCTGAGCACAGTATCCACTACATACATAAAGACTGATTTAAAATAGATTAAACAAATTAAAATATCCAAACTCTACCCATCAATTCACTCTGTGTGGTAATCAGCATAATGTTAGATAACTTTGTTCTTAATAAATTCTATAGAGATATGGGTCAGTTAGCTAAGTTAGGGGGGATGAACATTTTCTTCACTGCCAAGAAGTGTAAGCAGCTCCCTGGTTTAAAACAACAACAATAAATGTCAGGTATCACCACTAAACAAGTTAAACAGCATTTAAAAATTATTATACATGTTTTAAATAGTATGAATATTGTTCCATTACCTGGCTCCCCCTAACATCACTGGATTTACTTTCTGATAAAGCTCCACATTAAAATCTTCCTTGACTTGATTTTTGGAGCCAGGCTTCTAAGCCAGGCTTTGACATCTTTTCATAGTAGACAATTCTGTATTGTTTGAATTTTTGTAACAAACATGTATTACTTTATTTATAAGAGTGATTATTTTAGATCAAATACATAAAAATAAGAAGAAAAAGGGAAAACAACTGTCAAGGGGGTAGGGCAGAAAGACCTAGTTTGGGCCTGGAAAATATTCCTCTGGGGGATGATCACAGTCTGTGCTGTAGTTCCTTGCAGATAGAACCTGAGAGTACAGCATGGCTGGCACTCCCACCTGACTGTGTCCCACTGAACTTGGCACTGAGAACATGCTAAATAAATGCATGATGAATGTATAAATGCCCTAGTAGTTCTTTTTAAAGTTTCATTTTATTATAAATTGAGATTTGTGTACCTCTGTAAAAAAACAGAAGACTATTATCATAAGTCAATTGTGCTGAAAAGAAAGGAATCATTATTTAAATGTCAAGAAACACATAACTAAGAGGGATAATTTGAAATACCTGGGAGGTGAGGGGGTTAGTGGGACAAGAAAGGGTATGAATGTCTCTTGAGGGAGATTATTAACTTATAGCTAGAAAGTAGTAGCAGGGCTTAATTAGGGCGTCTTTCCATTGTAATAGTGCCCTCAGCATAACCTCTCTTTCCCTTCTTGACATTATAGAGATGACAATGAAGGACTCCAAGAGAGATGAAAACCTATGGGTTCAGCAGCAGGCTATGAAGGAGGGAATTCTCAGGAAGAGTTTTAAAACTAAAGTATATTTTAATAATAGCCATGAGAAACTAAACTCATACTTCTGCACCTTTGTGTCAAGAAGGAAGACCGAAATAGAAACTTCAGTTGTCAAACTGGCCAGAAGCCCTAGGGCCCCAAACTCAAGGATTTAAAATGACTAGAAAGCAACAATCTTATCAATTCTAGATATAAGATCTTGGAAAAAGGCAAAGTTATACCTTAGCACCTTTTAAAATTTACTCTATGTGAAACATAGTTAACATATTATGGAACTAGAGGCCCAGTGCACAAAATTCATGCATGGCGGCAGGATCCCTCAGCCCGGCCTGCACCCTCTCCAATCCAGGACCACTGGCTCCTAACCACTCACCTGCCTGCTGGCCTGATCACTCCTAACTGCCCTCCCCTGCCGGCTTGATCACCCCTAACCGCCTCTGCCTTGGCCGCCACCACTGTGGCTTTGTTTGGAAGGAAGCCAGAATGACTGGAAGATGTCCGGTCGAACTGGTATAATTAGCACATTACCCTTTTATTAATATAGATAATATTGTTGAACTTTAGTTTTATATTTGTATACATGGTGACATAAAGTCATTGTTCTAATATAAGCTTCAAGTGAAGCTTGACAATGATCTGTGATGAGAATTGTGTTATTTGGATTAAGTTGTGGACCACCTAGTGATGCCCATCATATAATGAGGTCTCCTAGGGCAGTTCTGACTGCACAGGAACATATTGACACTTGTTAAAAATGTAGATTCTCTGGCTGCACTCAGACCTGCTCTACCAGAATCTCTTGGGTAGTTCCTAGGAATCTGTGTTTTAATAAACTCTTCATTTGATTCACATGCATGCTAAAGATTGAGAACATTGAAACATGAAGGCAAATGTCCACATTTTGTACTTATTAATAGCATATTTAATTATCATGGGAGTGATGATATAAAGAAAAGAACAAATATGGAACAAATAATTTTTCAGTTCTGTTCAATCTTTACATGTGGTATATGCCCTCTTTACTGCAATCAGGAAATGTGCTTCTGCTATAGGCTTGGAATGATAATATTAAGAGCAGCATAAACAAAATTATTAATTTGACCTAAATTTCAAGGAAATCTTTTCTTTCTTACTTTATTCATTTCTAGATAATATAACAAACAGCACACAGAATACCAGTAAGAAGAACTCACTAAATTAGGTCATCTGTGCCTTGCTACTTTCCTTAAAAAGAATGAAGATGTTGGCTAACATTTATGTCCATTCTTATCAGATCTCCTAGTTTCTTCTTTAAGGCTTGTCTTTTTCCCGAAGTGGTTCAATGGAAGACAGAAGTTGCTGAAATGTGGGACGCTTTTCTGGAAGCTAAATAAAAGAAAAAAAAACACCCCCAAACCATTGGTTTAGTTTATGATGGTTGTGATTAAAAATAAAATATATAAAATATTTATACCTGAATCCTAAAGCTAGCAACATTTAAATGTGAAAACACTACAGACATTTTTACTAAAGAGAAAAGAATTATAGTCCTACAAATTGAAAAGAAAAAGTAAAAGTATCTTTGTTTACATAAGATATGATTGTATACTTGGAAAAATGAAGAGAATCCATGATAAAACCAACCCAAATAATAAAGGAATTAATCAGGAGAACGGTATATAAAATTAACATACAAAATCAATAGCCTTCATGTATATGTACAATAACCAATTAGTTGATATAATGAGAAAAACCCAGTTACAGTAGCAACACCAAAATAAAATACTAACAAAAATGTACCTCCAAATAAAGAAAACTTTAAAACACTGCTAAAAAATACAAACTTAGATTTCAACACATAGAAAAAATATTGCTTGTTCTTGAGCATTACAAATCAATATAAAGGTGTCAAATTTGGTAAGTTAAAATATAAACTAAATGCGCTCACTTTATAAAAGGATTTTAAAACTTGAGGTAGGGAAAACAAAAACCTATTAGAAAAAAGAGCAAAGACATGGCATATAATTCTCAGCAATATATACAAGTGCCCTTAAAAATATACTTCATTTATAATGAATAGGAACATATGAAAGCTACCCTAATTGCCATTTCTCATATATCAGATGGGCAGAAATTCAGATAAATTGGAACCTAATGAAAGTTGTGAATGTTTTGCAATAAAATATAAAATTGAGGGGAGAGCCCTAGCTGGTTTGGCTCAGTGAATAGAGCATCAGCCCACAGGTCAAGGACACATACCTCAGTTTCAAGTTTGGGGCACGTGCAGGAGGCAACCAATTGATGTGTCTCTCTCATATCAATGTTTCTATTTCTATCCCTCCCTTCCACTCTCTCTGAAAATCAATGTAAAAAATATCCTCAGGTGAGGATTAACAAAAAAAAAAATTGAAGGGAGACTAAAATGCTCACTATATGCAGAACCTTGATCAGGGATTGTCTCTGCAAACCCCTCTCAATGAATTCTGCCATAATTCACACACTTATGTGGAGCAGCTGTGGAAAGAAGGCAGTTCCTTCCTGTTAAGGGCTCCCTGTCCATCTGATGGTGCAGTCCTAGTGTCTGGAGCTAGAGTGGTGAGGGCCAAGGAGGTCTGGCTTCAACTCAAAACCCCTTGTTTGCTCCTCTTCTTCAACTGACCAGTGACGGCAGTAAGTCCTGTACTTGATCTGTTTATATTGCACATGTATAATGTGTATAGTTATAAACTGCTTGGTATTTTCAGTTCCACAGTATGAGTACACGTGTGTGTGTGTGTGTGTGTGTGTGTGTGTGTGTGTGTGTACTGAGTCCTTTGAGGGAAAATCAACCTCCTGCAATTTCAGCTCCATGTTTACCCCAAAACATACTCTTATTCCTTATGGGCATGGAGTGTTTTTTACTCAGCATTTGGTAAGTGTGGGAAGAGAGGATGGAGTCATGTCCATTATGTATTCTCTACACATGGTTATAGTTCTCTGTTACACATTTCCTACTCGAGGAGAGACCCCATAATATGGTTAAGAACAGGAACTCCAAGACCGGCCAGTCAGCATCTTAATGGCTGTGTGACCTTGGGCAAGTCACTTAAACGTCTCTGGGTCTGTTTCCTCTTCTGTTAGTTTTAGCCATGATATCAGTGTGTTTGCTGATGAATAAATAAGCTAATAGTTATGAAATTTGTCGAACAGTGCTGGACATAAGTTGTTTGTTAAATTGTTGGCACCTGCATTTCTTGTTTTTAATTACAAACACTTGAGGGCAGAGGTCCCGGGCCATTTCCACCTGATCCAAAGCTGGCGCCTCCCCCACAACAATGCTTTACCTAGTGGTGACAGGGCACCCAGTTCCCCTGGTGGTGCACTTGCCTCATGCCAGCAGCTGTACATGATCTGGTAGATGGTGTCCGATGCCAGTTTGGGCCGGTAGAGCCTGTGGCCCTGGGAGACCTTCACAACCACCTGGGAGTTGTCGTACAAGTCGTAGGGCTGCTTCCCCAGGCTGAACACTTCCCACATCAGGATCCCTGCACCACACCGAGGGGCGAGGGGTGGCCGGAAGACAACAAGGAAAGAGAGCCAACATCAGAGGGTACACAGTTTGTTGAATGAGCTTCATGTGCCAGGACAAGAAGGCAGGTCAGAGCGAGGGAGCCCTGGGAAATGAGTCCTTGCAGAAAGGACAAGATATGGAGGGTGGGTCTGTACCATCACTTCTGGAGCCCGGGGTCTCTCCTCCATGTTTCCTGAGATGCAGTCACCCATTTTTGCTGGTAAACAGGCAAATAGCAAGGAGAGCTGCAGGGACAGCTACTTAGGGCCAACATTCTTGGGCTGCTCCAGAGAAGCAAATGGGGTTTGGGTAAACCCACAAACTACCCAGCTCCAGCTCCAGCTCTTAGGAGTTATCGATCGAAGTCATCACTTTTCCTTTCTCTCTGCCTCGGCAGTTGTGTGAAACAATTTCATTGCACAAATTACCTTTCAGTGGAAATGTAAAGATAAAATCATTGAAAGTGTTGCTGCTTTTGTTTTTGCCACCGTGGGTCATTATATTTTGTGGGTCAGGTATACTTTTGAGAATCTGATAAAAGCCATTGGCTCTCCCTTGGGAAAATGAATGCACAGCATTTCTGTGTTTGGTTTCTGGATGTCCACAGTCCCCCATCCAGGGCGTCATGACCTCCAGGTTAAGAAACTGTGTTCTGGTTATGGAGGTCAATAGGCTGGCACTTGGGGGTCAGTCAGATTTGGCCTTTGAGGCCCAGGCCTGCCACTTATAGGCTGGACAAGTTTCTTACCCTTCTCAGTCAGGTTCTCTGTCTATAATATGCAGATATTTGCACCTCATAGTTACCATAAGGATTAAATAGGGAAAAACCCCCACATAGAACACCTTAAAGAGCACAGGGCATTTTAACTGCTCTCTAAATGATGGCTATTTGCCATCATCCTCATAGCCAAGTGAGAGAATTTCAACAGTCAGCCAGCTTCAAACCATAGAAAATCAGAAATATGTAAGGAGGAAGAAAATTGTTCTAGAACCATAATTGAAGTGCCACCTTCAAAAACTTCTCTGACTTTTAGGACTACAAATTTTATGTAAAATATTTATAATAGGATAATACTATAAGTTGTTGTGGCTGCATTAAAAAAAAATTCTGAAACAACTATTCAAAGCATGTTGCTCCTTCACAACACTCTTCTTTGGAAGGATATCATCTTATCTCAAGAATAATTTCATTGCTAAAAATATCTGTGCAACTCCTTTTTGAGAATTGCTTTCAGAGGCCCTGGTTCATTGTGAATATCTTTATTGGGGACAAATTATTTAAGAATAGATTTAGTTTTTGGAAACAGCCAGAAAATGCCAGGAGCCAAGTTCTGGTGCAAAGATGAGTAATTAATCTGGATAATTCAATTTTGGATAAAACACAAGGTAGAACTATTAAGTAAGCATACTGTTTTTAAAAATATCTTTCACAAGGCATATTAACTGGAACAAGGAGATTAAAACTAATTTTGACAAGTTAATCAGCACAAAATATTGTCAAGTATTCACCAAAATGCTATCTTTGTGGTTTTTCCTTTTTCTGTATACACTGGATTATTATTATTATTTTTTACAATGAACAATGCCACTTTTACTAAAGGAATAATTATTTTTTTTAAAAAAATCATGTTATATAAAAAAGTAAATGACTAACTAAATTTTACTTTTAATTTTTTCTATTACTTTATTTTCCATCACCATTTATCCCCCCATCCCCTTTTCCACCTCCATCCACCCTCTCCCGCCCCACAATCACCACACCATTGTCTGTGTCCATGACGAAATTTTTCTTTTTAAAGGTAGTCTTATAGATGTCATGTAGAAAGTCAAATTATGCTTATGGACCAAGACAAGCACGAAATAGGTTTTAGTTGAATTTAATACATTCTATAGCTTGATAATAATTTGGATTATTTATCCTGGATGCATCTGATGGTGATTGTAAACAGGTATGACCTCTCTTACAATGTAGATTGTAGAAAAACATCAGCAAATCTACAAAATCACAATTTAAGAATTATTTAAGTTTTCTAATTATCATTACTAAAATTCAACATAGATCTTTTAATAAAATAAAGGCCAGAAAACTTTTTCTGTAAAGGGTTACATAGGGACTATTTTAGTGTTGTTGTTTTTTTTTGGTCATGCATCTATGGCAACGACTCTACTCTGCTAGTGCTGCACAAAATCAGCCAGAGACAATACTAAAACAAATCGGCATGGCCTGGTGTCAATAAAATTTTAATTAGAGAAACAGGTCATAGGATTTCATCCTGGGCTGTGGCTTGCTCATCCCTGATTTAAATTATGAATTTTAATGAGGATACTAGTTGGAATTGGTATGGGCCAAAGAGAACACTGAGTCATATTTGTTTTTTCACATCAGGCATGTCCCCTAAATTGGTCAATTCAGAAAGGAATGTTTATCACAGCTGCTTTCATGCCAAAAGTAGATGATTCCATTGTAAACCCTTCAGTGTTTTGGACTAATGCAAACTCGGTTTTAGTTTTCAATGACTCATTTTTAAAAATTGCTTGAAATCTTCAGTAGAAGAGCTTTTATGAGAAGGCGGTAGCAGGATGCAAAGTATAGAATATGTGCGGACATCATAGCACCAACTCAAGGAAAGATCATTTTCTTTTTCTATCTCTTGCTTGCCTACAGGTAATTTTGTAAGTGCTCAGAGTTTTTGCTAAAAAATGGATGTTGTTACTCTTGTGGTTTCCTGTTGTGGAAGTTGGCTTGTGAAATGGGGCTGAGGCCTGTGTGGCCACATTCTTACCGAATGCCCATACGTCTGACTTGCTGCTGTATTTGAAGTAGTGAAACACTTCTGGGGCTGACCACTTGACCGGAAACTTGGTCCCTACTGAGCTGACATACTGGTCATCAAGAACATACCTGTGGGTGGGAGGGGGGAGGACATCAATACAGACCTTAAGCTGCTTGGCTGTGCAGAATGAGAAGACCTCTGCTGGCTGCCATTGCCTGGTGGTAGGTGGTACAAGCAGCCAGTCTCAGCCTGGTGCCTTGATGTTCTGGATCCTTTGCTTCCTTTCAATATGTATACTTAGCTATAGCCTGCTTATGACTCGTAAGCTTTAAAAAATGATACTTAACTTTGAAGACACCAAAATATGAATGCAAAATGTTTGGTAAATATAGAAAAACACAAAAATGTAAACATAAAGTTACTCAGAATCCCACCCCAAAGATAACCTGTAATTCTACCACTCAAGATACATTTTTGCTTATAGTTTCCAATCTTTTTTCCTATATATAACATGAACAAAATTGGGTTTCTGTCATATTGAAATTTGCTTTTATTTTTCCTTTAACAGCATATCAAGAACATTTTACCCATATGGTTACATTTTCTTCTGCATCATCATGTTTAATGGCTGAATGCCCTCTTATGAATTAACATAATTTGTTTAACCATGTAAATGGCTTCTAATCTTCTGCTGTTATAAACAATGATGAACAAAACTATCCTATGGAGTTATTTAGACCATAAAAATATATGTTCAAGGATATTCATTACACTGTGGCTTATAATAATGATAGAAATGGAAGCAATCTTAATGTCTATATGTTGAGGAGCAATTAAATATAATATGGTACATTAATATAATAGAATAATATGCAGCTATTAAAAAATAAGATAACTATATTTACCGTAAGAAAAAGAGACCATGTGAATATGGTTATATGTAAAAGCAAGTACATATGATGTGATTCCACCTTTATGGAAACAAACAGTAAATGTACTTACTTGTGTACATGATTGGGTATACCTAGGAATCAGGTATGGAAGGACATCTACCAAATGTGTTAGCAATAGTTACTACTAGTGCTGAGAAAGGGGTAAAGGGTCAAATTATACTTTTGACTTTATACACCATTTCCATATTTCTCACAATAAGCACTTAATATTTATATAATTAATATAGGGGAACCCAATATATTTGCCCACAAAAAAACAAATAAATAATGACTCATAAATAGGACAATAAGAAAATAAAAATTATGGAAACTAAAATTTTAGATACAATTTATAGGAAAACTATATACAACAAAATGTGTTAGAGATATTTGCCATAATTTGAAACATCAGAAATAGCTGGTTTGGCAAGTCATTCTATGCAAATAATAGTAATAATGAATAACAACTTCATAGGATTATATATAGCACCTTCCATACTTTCCTCCCTGGGCCTCTCCAGCTCCACAGATACCACAAGACACCAAGAAATTACACTGGCACCCCTCCCCCAACTGGTAATTTTGTGTTGTTTAACCCTTTCTTCAAATGATTGGACCAGGTTAAGTCACAGGCATCTGAATGAGGTGACACCACAGCTTCGTGACAGAAAGGCCCTGGTGCATGACCCCCAGTATCCCTTATTCAAAGGAAGACCTTGTGTTCCCCTTTTTCTAAGCAACAAAGAACTTGAGGTATATCCCCTGTATATTGGCACAACAGCCAATATTCCTACTTTAAGAACAAGGTGGGAATCAGCCCTGTTCTGGGAGCTTCTCTCTGCCCTCAGGAGCAAAGAGCAGCTTTTTCTTTTGTATTTGAGAGAGCCACAAAGATGGAATGTCAATGTAGGAGACTCAGTGTATCATGCTTGGAGTGATGGCAGGTAGCACAGCTAAAGGTACCTTGCAAAACTGAGGGGTCCCAGAAGAGGAGAACTTCCTAATACAGAATTTTGGAGAAGACTTAAAGAGACAGATCTTCCTATGGTGTTTTAGGGCTATGTTTGCTAAATACAGAGCTGGCCTTGGTAAACTCATCAGATCTCTTTGAAACTGCATTATTCCTCCTCAGCATTATGTAAGTTTATGTTGAGTCAGCACAATTTTACAGCTGTATTTTGTCTCAATGTCAGTAACATCTACTTGCCCTTTAGACCAACTGTGGGCATTTTGAGGACAGGGACTATCCCATTCATATCAGTATGCCTCACAAGTCCAAGGAGTCTAGGAGGAACTTGATAAATGTTTGTTCAATGGATAGGCTAGCATGTATGTTTTCATTTCCTATGTAAAATCATGAAAATTGGCTTTAATGCTTAAGTAGTATGAGAATTCAGAATTAGGAAATGGAAGACTTTTAAAGTGCTATCAGAGAGCGTCAGCCTGCGGACTGAAAGGTCCCAGGTTCGATTCTGGTCAAGAGCATATACCTTGATTGTGGGCACATCCCCAGTAGGGGGTGTGCAGGAGGCAGGTGATCGATGTTTCTCTTTCATCGATGTTTCTAACTTTCTATCCCTCTCCCTTCCTCTCTGTAAAAAAATCAATAAAATACATTTTTAAAAATAAAGTGCTATCAGAATCAAAATGATTTTCCAAATGATGAAGTGGTGATAGAACACCCATCAAGAGAATCTCAGAGTCTACTTTCATGCCTTACTATGTGATAAAGAAAATTTAATGACATGACAACAAAATTTTCCTGGTGCTAATGCTCTACCCATTTGGATATATATTAAGAAAAACCCCAGACAGGGCTAAAAGAGCTTTGATGGACTCTATCTATCTGTCTATCTATCTATCTATCTATCTATCATCTATCCATCCATCCACATATTATTTATCCAAATCATCTGACTGTAACATGTTATATTTAAATATTTAGGATCTTTCATGGAACTTTTTTTAAAAAATATATTTCTTTATTGATTTCAGAGAGGAAGGGAGAAGGAGAGAGAGATGGAAACATCAATGATGAGAGAGAATCATTGATCGGCTGCCTCCTGCACGCCCCCTACTGGGGATCAAGTCAGCAACCCAGGCATGTGCCCTTGTCCAGAATCGAACCCAGGACTCTTCAGTCCACAGGCTGACGCTCTATCCACTGAGCCAAGTCGGCTAGGGCTGGAACTTATTTGTAAGTTTAGAAAATATTTATCAGGGTCTTGAAAGGACTAAAAGGGGCTTTGTATAATTTCTAAAGTGCAATTTCACCTTACAGGTGAGGAAATGTGTTTCATAGGTAGTCCAAGGTAGTATGGGGAAGGGAATCCAGGTTTCTAAGCCCCCAATTCAGTGCACCTTCTGTATCCCGACAGAGCCTTCAATTATGATGGCATTTAGTTGAGAATGGAAATCACCCTTTCATTGGTTGTCCCTTTGGAACTGGCTTACCTTGTCATTCCAAAGTCAGATACTTTCACAGAGAGATCACCGTCCACCAAGCAGTTCCGAGCAGCCTTTGGATAAAAAAAAAACACACAACAACACAAAATTACCAAGTAGTAAAGGCAACCACAAATCTTCTGACATCTTTCTTCTCTTTGGCAAAATTCCCAGCAAAATCTAAGATTTCCTATCAAAACCCCAAATGTTGGGGAGTTGTCTTTTTTTCCCTTTGCAATTTTTGATTTTACAAAATAAAAATGTGCTCTCATAAGTATTTTCACCCAGGCATCCATCCTTGTCAAACACAAAAGGTTTTACACATTAAATACAGAACCTGAGCTCCCCAGTGAGAAGTGAAAATCAGTTTGAGGGGCTTCTTCAAAGATACTGTGCGGCAACATGCACTCTCAAGGTATAAATGCTGTACCAGAGACTCAAAATGCACTTGCCTAGTGTGCATGGCATGTTTTCTGTTCAACACAAGAAAATCTCTAAAGATAAATACCCGTGCATACCAAGCAGAACGCTTTTCCCTCTCCTTCTGACTCAAACACATACACAAGTTTCATTTCTTTCTGGTTTTTGTTCGTTTTTATATTTTCAGTTATTGTATTGAATGACTGCTTTAGCACTAAGCCCTTCCTAGAGCAAGGGTCAATTTGGGTTTAATGGTGCCTAGAAGCAATATATTGACCAAAGCCTCTCCTTTCCATCTCTTTTCCTTCAAACCACAAACAACTACAAAGATCTTGATGGCTTCTTTTACTCTCTCTGTTCTTTCTGAACTTCAAATATTTTATTTTGAAATTGTGATTTTTTTTTAAATTATGAAAGTGTCATGTGCTTAAGCAAGTCACAGGTGAGCAAAGTAAAAGCTAAGATGGCCTCCTTGCCGTTCCTCCCAATGGCCCTACTGCTGGAGGCAGGAACTGTGGATTGCTTTCTTTCCTTTCTTTGAGTTTCCAATGGTTTTGCTTACCAAGTCCCGATGTATGAACTGGTGGCTCTCCAAGAAGGCCATGCCTTCACAAACATCATAGCACATTTCTAAGAGCTGGTAGGTTTCAAGTCCTTTTCCATGACTCTTCAGATAATTAAGCAAGCAGCCATTGGTTATATATTCAGTCACTATGTATATAGGATATATCTTTGAGCACACTCCATAGAATTTCACCAGCTTGGGATGGTTGAGTTTCCTGGAAACAACAGATTTTCAAAGTTAAGTATTGAATTTCCACACGCCACTTTCCGGATGTCCTGAAAAAGAATCACTCTCAGATATTTGTTTGTTTGAATTCCCCCCTTCTTCTTGAACAGGGAAAGAAGAAAAAGTTTCGAATCTTATTCTGAATCTTATGAGTCTTTGAAGGAGAAAAAGACTGTCTCATATTGGACATTGACAACTCCAGCAGCAATTTAGTGGTTATGGATACTGTGCTCAACTTTCATAGAGAGAAGCAGGGAAGCAATGGTCTGGTGCCTTGGAAATCCTGTTTAGTCTAGTGCCGTGGTTGGCAAACTGCGGCTCGCGAGCCACATGTGGCTCTTTGGCCCCTTGAGTGTGGCTCTTCCACAAAATACCACGTGCGGGCACGCGTACAGTGCGATTGAAACTTCGTGGCCCATGCGCAGAAGTCGGTTTTCGGCCTGGGCGAGTCTATTTTGAAGAAGTACTGTTGATATTTGGCTCTGTTGACGAGTTTGCCGACCACTGGTCTAGTGGTATCTCAAGGACTTCCATGACTGATTTGGATGAACCTACACCCTAAAATCACACACTTCCATTTTAAAGCATCTAACTTTCATGTCTAAATATTTTGTTCTAAAAAAATTATATCCAAATATGAATGGCATAGATAAAATGAAAATAGTCACTATGTTAGGGAAATAAGACGACATAATTTTTCTTTTTTAAAGAACTCATTACATTGTTACATTATTTTTTTAATAATAAATTTAGAAAATAGTAACCATGTGACATAGCACTTCTAGTAGGTTATGATGGATAGACACTCATCTGTTATGATGTTCATCAACTTGTCCTTATGTAATTTATTCTTATCAATTAACAGGATGATTCTTTAATGTTCAGATGTGTAAAGTAAACCTAAACTTAATATGTCAACTTTTAAATGTTTTAATAATTGAGGAATTATTAAACATTTAGTTATTTTCTTTCTTCTTGACTTAACTATAGGGACATGCCTTATCATTTTACTCAGGGTGATGAGCCCAGTTATGCATCTTTCAGCAACTGTAGAGACCTGGTACTCATCAGTTCTCTCTTCAGAGGAAAGGCTTGTGGCAGGACAAAGGTCTGTCACCCAATAAAAGCTCTTACTTGAGCAAATTGTGTCACTACCCAAAGGGCACATGGTGGGAACACCATGTCAACTGGTATCCCCCACCTGATAAGCCTCAGTTGATCATTACATGTGGGATTTAACATTTCCCCTTATGGTACAGTTTGACCTCTTTTTTTTATAACTGGGTGATTTGTTAATGACTTTATGATTCTGATAGCCTTCTAATAGCAAAAAATATGTTTTAAAGTTATACCAGAACATGGGAGGGTGGGGCTGTTACACCATGAGCCTAAGGGAGTTTCTGTGAGATTTTCTATCCTACAAAAGGAAGACATCAGGGGTCCCTCCCCAGTTTTATGACAGTCCAATTGCCAAAAGCAGAATGAGCTACATAATTTGCAGGAACTGGAGCAAAATGAAAATGCAGGGGTGCTTATTTAAGAACTAGAGGCTGATACACAAAATTCATGCACGAGGGGGGTGTCCCTCAGCCCGGCCTGCGCCCTCTCACAATCCAGGACCCCTTGCTAAAACCAGCAGCTGGACATCCCTCCAATAATCTGGGACCCCTCGCTCCTTACCGCCTGCCTGCTGGCTCCTAACCACCTGCCTGCTCACTCCTAACCACTCGCCTACTTGCTCTTTACCACTTGGCTCACCGCTCCTTAGTGCTGCCGTGGAGGTGGGAGAGGCTCCCGCCACTGCCGCTGTGCTCGCCAGCCATGAGCCTGGCTTCTGTGGGAGTGCACTGACCACTAGGGGGAAGCTCCTGCATTGGTCGTCTGCCCCTGGCGGTCAGTGAACATCACAGCAACCAGTTGCTCTGGTCTTTCTGATTGTTCTGCCGTAATGGTCCCTGGGCTTTTATATATATAGATTATTAAGAATTTCATGCCCAGCCAGGTGTAGCTCAGTGGTTGAGCATCAACCCAGGAACCAAGAGGTCGCTGGTTTGATTCCTGGCCAGGGCATATGCCCAGGTTGCAGGCTTGATCCCCAGTGGGGGGCATGCAGGAGGCAGTCAATCAATGATTCTCTCTCATCATTGATGTTTCTATCTCTCCCTCTCCCTTCCTCTCTGACATCAATAAAAAAATATAAAAGAAAGAATTTCAGACGGTGACAGAACAGCCTTAAACCAAGTGGGGAGCCCTTCTGAGGATGGGTTACATGCTCATGCAGCCAGCCTTAGCAAAGGTTTATATTCAGGGAAGTCTCAGACAAAGATGTATGGTTGGATACCCTTCAAAGTCTGATTCATCATATTGACAAGAGGTAGAATCATTAAATTAATTCTTTGTACTTGCATAGGAGAGAGAGAGAGAGAGAGAGAGAGAGAGAGAGAGAGAGAGAGAGAGAGAGAGAGACTGAGACTGAATTAGAACAGAGAGAGAAAGAGAACACATACACATACGTAGTGCTTGGAGCTGAAGCCCATTGGGAAGGGTTTGTTCATTATCAGTGAGGAAAGAATAGGGTAAGAAAGGGATTTATCAGACTGTATTGAAGGTACCAGGAAGCAAAAGGATATCGCCTATAGGGCTTTTGTTTTCAGTATTGTCTTAGTCCTGGCCACTAGAGGCTCCTGCCCTCAGGCATGTGCTTTACAGAGACCTACTGTGTTCCACATTCCACCATGTACCTCTCCACAGGGAAAGGAGGCCTGAAGGCCAAGGAGAAATGCTCACTCAGAACCCATACATCCCTTTTTCCATCACAATTGGGGTACCAGGACTATAATCCCTGTCCACATAGTCCTGAGGCCTCTTCCAGGACCTGTGTAGACTCTTTTAGGGTCTGCCCCCCAGGAGTGAGCCACTTAACCAAGATAATTATCCAATAGTTGTTTGTGGTATACACAGAGGGATCTTGGATATACAGATGCTATGTTTGAACACAAGTATTGGATATATTGCAGGACAGAGCTGGGGTTGGGAGGAGAAAGGGGAGGGGGGAGTTTTTGAGGGTCATGGGCCAGAGGTTGGTTTCTCTAAAGAGGTTGTCATGAAGGTATGCTTGTCAAAAGAGGAGCACAGCTGATTTTATTTAAGTGTGTTAGCTTGATTTATAACTTCTAAACATTTATATCTATGATATGTGGACACTTGCTCCAGGCCTTGCAAATATTAGTCAGACCTGTTAGCATGCCCATGGTGAGGGCTAAAGTGCCTTTCTTCAGAAGAAACTTACATCATGGTCTGAGCCTCCTGGAAGAATTCATCTTCTGACATGGAGCCCTCCTTGATCATCTTAATGGCAACATCATACTGCCCTTTCCACTTGCCCAAATGGACTACTCCAAACTGTCCACTTCCCAGCTCTTTCAACAGGGTAATCTCTTCTCTTTTCAGTTCCCAGATTCCTAGTAAGGCAAGACAGACACTCTTTAGGATGAGAATATAAGGCTTTGGGGATAACAACTTCCCAAGCAATTTCTTCCCCAGTAACAGTTTCATATTGGCAGTATGAAGAACAGCAAGATTTTTTAGTTGACCACTTAAAAAAACCCTTAGTAATGTGGTCTTATGAACTATTAGGCCACATAATACCAATAGGACAATATATTTCTTAAAGCAGCTATAGTCATTGACAAGAAAGCTTACAGTAAAACCACTTTGCCCACCAGAGGCATCATGGAAAGACTCAGTGTCAAAATGTGCTGATGTTCTTAGCTTGGTAAAATATCATATTTTCTTAAATATGTGACCTGGGTGGATGTCATTATCTTAAATACACAAGGGTGAAAAATGGCTCCCTTTCTTCCAGGCACAGAATCCTAGAAGAAGAACTGACAGGCAATGGGGATCTAGAAGCTGAGGATTGGGTCTAATAAGAGAAAAATTTTGAGTCTTTTTGTCAAATGCTAGAGAGATTACAGAGTTAGGTTGGGAGGACAGAAAAGTTATTTGTTTATTTGTTTTTAGAAAGTGAACAAATATGGTAGAGCTGAAATCCTCCCTGGCACAATCTTACAAGTATGGCCTTCCTGTCTTCCCTATTTTTTTTTTCAGTAAAATAACTAACTAACTTACTAACTATCTATCTATCTATCTATCTATCTATCTATCTATCTATCTATCTATCTATCTATACTAGAGGCCCGGTGCAAAAAAATTCGTGCCCTGGGGGGTCCCTCAGCCTGGCCTGCCCCCTCTCATAGTCCAGGAGCCCTCAGGGGATGTCCTACTGACAACTTAGGCTCACTTCCCACGGGGAGTGGGCCTACTCTGCAGTCTGGCCTCCCTCTGTGGGAGGCGACCGGGCTGATCAGGGGAAGGCAACACCCCCATCACACTGCTGCTGCTGCCACTGCTAGCAGCCTCAGCTGCCTGAGACTCGGCCTGGCCCTCGCAGCAGCAGCTGCCATCTGCGGCTGCCTGAGCCTCGGCTGTGAGGGGCAAGGCTTAGGCAGTTGCTGCAGCTTTGTCTGGAAGACGTCTGGTCTTATTGGTACCCTAATATATATAAAGAGCTAGATGCCGTCATGACCGAATGGGCGACCGGTCACCATGAAGTGCATGGAGCACCTCTTGGTCCCCCAGCCCCCCGGGCCCCTGAGCTGCTCACCATGAGGGGGGACTGGTGGCTGGGTGGGACTGTTGAGCGGTGGTGGTGGGCTGCTTCACGGGGTGGCCATAAGCTTAGCAGAACAGTCACCCAGGTGGCAGTGAGTTTTGCAAAGCAGTTGCGGGGCGGGGAGTTTGGCGGAGTAGTCGTGGGGTAGGGGTAGGGGGGAGTTTTGTGGAGCATCCAGTGGCGAGCTTCACGGGGCGGCAGCAAGCTTTGCAGAGAAGTCAAGTGGCAGGGGGGAGCCTCTTGGAGCAGTCGTGGGGTTCGTGGAGCATCCTGGGGCGGGGAGCTTCATGTAGCATCACAGGGCACCAGAGGCCATGCAACAGAGGCCAGGCTAGGCCTACGAACCCTAACCACACATGATTTTGTGTGTGCTGGGCCTCTAGCATATATATATATATATATATATATATATATATATATATATATATATATATATATATATCCCAGTGCATGAAACTCATGCACTTGGGGGGTGGGAGGTCTCTCAGCCCGGCCTGTGCCCTCTTGCAGTCTGAGAGCCCTTGGGGGATGTCCAAGTGCTGGCTTAGGCCTGCTCCCTGCTTAAGCCATCAGTCAGACATCCTTACCACTACAGCTGCGCTCTCCAGCCATGAGCCAGGCTTCTGGCTGAGCTGTGCTCCCCCTGTGGGAGTGCACTGACCATCAGGAGGCAGCTCCTGTGTTGAGTGTCGGCCCCCTGGTGGTCAGTGCATGTCATAGCGACCGGTCTTTCTGCTGTTCAGTCAATTTGCATATTACCCTTTTATTATATAAGATATATAATATATCTTTATTGATTTTAGAGAGTAAGAGAGAGGAAGAGAGATAGAAACATCAATGAGAGGGAATCATTGATTGGCTGCCTTCTGCCCATTGGACCTAGCCCACAACCCAGGTATGTGCCCTTGACCAGAATCAAACCTAGGACCCTTCAGTCTGCAGGCCGATGCTCTATCCACTGAGCAAACTGGCTAGGGATATATGTATATTTTAATAAAAAAAATGGTAGGAAATGGAGTTTAAGAGCCCAAAGATATGTCCATACCACTTCCCAAAGACACGGAGGTGGGGACCTTGTTGGCCTTGGTCGACACAGGGTGGCGGAGTCGTGTGATCATGCCTGCAACAGAATCAGCATCATGTTATCACATCACATCACATCACATCACATCACATCACATCACATCACATCACATCACTTCACACATCTGCTTATACTCCCTCCAGAGCAGCTGGAAAAGCAGAGTTCAGGATGGTGATATGCAGAGAATGAATCTCTTCTGTTCATAGTCATCCTGTAGTTGTATCAGTTTGCTTGACTTGATCAATTAGCTCAATGTACAGCAAAAATTAAAAGAACAAAACCACTTTATGTCATCTTGAAAATCCCATCAAAGTGAGTGACTTGATAGAGTTTTTCATTTAAAAAATTCCCATTTATATGTTGCTATCTTTTTATAGTCATATATTTAAATATGTATAAACACAGTACACACATTTGGTAAAAAAAAAAAAATCAAACAGTGCAGAGGGGTACAAAATAAAAAGTAAACCACTTGATTTAAAAAAAAATTAAACTGTCAAGTCATTTTAGTTGTTTACATCAAGTTATGATAAAGCTGGGTTAAAATAATCATAGTATTTATAGTGGCTTGAGAGAACACATTCAAAAATATATGCTTGTTGCTTTAGTTGTGTGAGGCTTTCCAAGTCCTAGAAACTGTCACAGGTGTTCTTTTTCTCTCCTTCCTTTTTCTATATTTATTTACTTTTTATATGAGTGGTCCTCAAATGTTTTAAATCTTATACCTTCAATTATAAAAAAATATTGGTGCACTTCTCCAAAATATGTATATACACAATTGCTGCTGTATTGATACGTTATGTGAATCATAAAGTGTCCTCACAAATAGAAAAGTTAAGAGAATGAGATTTTAAAAACCAATCCAAATAAACATTTTACTGTTTTGTTTTTTCTTATACCCTGTGGGGTTGCTTGTGCATGCTCCGGAGAGGAATCATCGCACTTGGAGATGTCTATATAATCCCTTGCCAAGGATCCTTTGGAGGCACTACAGGTTAAAACAAACAATTGATGAAACTGGGACAAAAGAAAAAGTCAAGCAGGAACCAAAATTAAAGCGAGGAGTGAGTCCAATTCACTTAATGTGCATGTAATCAGGTTAGGTAGAGTTGCACGATTCGACTCTGAGCCCACAGCTTATTACTCACTGTTGGAAATTCATCCAAGCACTGCCTCTAAATGGCACTACTCTTGAAAAGACATTTAGAGGGGATTTATTTTTTTAAAACTTTTTTTCTACATTTATTGAGATGTTACTTACATATAACATATATAACTGTAAGGTGTATAATGTGATGATTTGGTACATGTATGTATTGTGAAATGTTTTCCACAATTAGGTTAGTTAACACTACCATTAGGAGGGATTTCTATATACAGTTCTGCCAGTCAATCAGGCAAAATTTGGTGAAGATGTGTTGGTGAAGATGAAAGCTGTTGCTGTTGATGGGAGTGTACATTTCTGAAAAGCATTTGACAATCTTTAAATTTTAAAGTTCTTAACCATTATCTCAGAAATTACCTTTCTAGGGAGTTTGGCTACAGAAACACTCATATAGTTGCACCGAGCTATGTTGGCAGGACTGCACTGAAATATTAATTGTAATGGGAAAATAGTGCATATGATCCAACTGTTAATCAATATAGGGTTACGTGAATATCTTATGAAGTAATTCTATAATAGATTTCTCTATAGCTGTTAAATAGACCAAAGTAAGCTATACGTATCTGCATGCAAAGACCTCCAAGACATGTTGAGTAAAGAAAGCAGCTGGAAAGTGGCATGTGTAGAATGATCTCATCTCCGTAAAAATATAATGTATCTATTTATACATATACATATATACAATTAATGAATAATAAGTGTTAGTACCAGCATAGAAAAAATTCTTCCAGAACAGATACCAGCTTGTATATTATTGGAGAGATAACCTCCATGGACGTATCTATAATGTTTAAATTTAGCAATCAACTTCTATAGGTAGAAAAAAACCCCGCAGATATTTTTATAAAGACAATCTCTACATCTAAGTCATTCAGCTCACTCAACTTAAATTTTCTGGCATTATAGAGTTTATAATGTTATATTCCAGGAAATATGGGTTAAAAATCACAGCAGGCATAGAGCTTGAGAACATTTTTTTCTTACTTTTATGGTTCCCTATAATAATTGAGAATATTAGGAGGATCAGTAGCATCCAAGAAAACTGATATTTATCAACAAGGACCCATAAAAGAAAAACTGAAATAACTTACCTGCTGAATTGTGTTGATGATAGTGAATAAGCTTTGGAATGGAATCAAAACAGTAGTTTTCTGCCAGGTACAATTTGTTCTCAGCATTTGTATGCACATGGTAATGTTTGACGGTTCCTTTCTTATCACTAGTAAGAAAGAAAGACTGTTAAAACATTTTTAATAAACAATTGAAGCTTCATTGCATGATGGTTAATCATCTTAGGTGTATTTGAAAATTTTGGAGAGGGAAGTCAGAGAGGGTCTCCCAGTCTTGATATCTGGCATTTTTCTGGGGGTATCCATGACAATTACCAATTATGAAAGAGGGCTCTTCTCTGAACTCAACATATCCTTTGTGCACATACAGAATTCATGTACAATAAAATTCCAACTTTCCAACTGTTCCTCCCTTATTAAGTATAAAGCTGGAATCTTCTTTTGATGATTGAAAGCCCTGCAATTCTTCAGGATCATTATTCTAAAGAGTAATTCTTTTTAATGGTAATAATGAAAATTAAAATGTGGGAAGCAATGGTGATTAGGCTGTGGGTATTCTTCCCTGGTGTATGGGTAGGAGGCTCTCTGGGGCAGTGAAACAGGCAGGATGGAGTGGGTGGGGATGTCCTTTAATTCCTCATGTAAACTTGTACCTTTTTTACATAAAACATTTTTCTTTTGCTCTACTTTTAGAAGACAGTGGTGAATTAGGCTAACTGATTTAGGCTAACTGGAAATAATATGTCTGTCTTAGATTTGAGAGGATTGCAGAGTGGTTAAGAACTGGACTTTGAGTCCAGTTCTACTGCTCGCTGGCTACCTTATCTGTTTGTTATAAAGATTGGAGAGATTATATACATACAAATCTGCATTATGCTTGGCACATAAGAAACTGCTAATAAATCGTTGTTGTTGCAATGCCAGCCTAGTTAAAACTGCAATTATAAAAGGGAGAAAGGGTACTTTCTTGTTGCAAATGGCTAACCAGCTCTTAGTGTCAATATGAAACTCGTTCAAGCCCATTGATTGTGTTTAGTAAAAGAAGGCTTCTGTATTCATTGATTTGGATTATTTTAATTTGATTCCTTATCCATTTGCTGATTTTTCTACCTGGTCACCTCAAAAATAAATCTGGTGTCAAGAAACTTGACTAGGAAGACTTCTGATATGAGGTTTGGCTAAAACTGCAGGACCAGAGGGCCACAGAGCTTTTGATATTCAGTGAACCAAGTCTTTTACCAGTTCTTCCTGAGTTGGCTTCAGCCAGCATCCAGATGTGCAACCTAGTACATGAGATGCATCGGGGAATTCTGGCATTGGAAAATTCCAGATGACTGCATAGAATACATCCTATTCTTTCAAATTGGAGATAGAAATTGTGTAAAAAGTCTCTCAAAATAAAATAACTTTTAAATCACTTAATTATTGCAAAAATACATATATACACCACAGGGCAGGACATATGGAGAAGGCACCAAGGCAGAGGGTCATTCAATCCAATCATTAAAAGAGGATTGCACACACAGAAAAAAATTTTGCTCAAATGCTTCTAATCAAGTTTTGTTCATGTTATTATTTCAGAACATTGGGAGTTTCAGTGTAGGAACAAGTGTGGTTGAAGGAACATGAACTTTGGGCTTTTAAAGGCCCAGCTTCAAGTTGACATTTATTAATCTTGTGGATGGGTCTTTATAAGCTTTTTTGAACCTCAGTCCTCTCATCTGTAAAAAGGTATAAATAAAAACAGCTTTCCTATTTGCTTCACAAGATGATTAGAAGGAAAAAAGAGCTAACAACTAATGGGAAAGTGGCTTGTGAAACTGAAGTGGGATCCTGATGTCGGTAAGGGTGATTTGCATAAGATGACTGGGGAGGTCTTTTATGCCTAGGTGTTGGGATGGAGGCGGTGGAGCAGGTAGAATTATTACTCTTTCCTAACAACAATAATAGTAATTGGTATTAGTTTATTGAGTGTTTACTATATGCCAGGCACTGTTCTGATCTGATACACAAAATTACTTTATTAATGGAACATAATAAACATTATCATGTTCCATTTTCAGATAAGGAAGTTGAGGCACAGAGTTTAAGAAACTTGCTCAATGCCAGAAAGCTTTATAAATGGTAGAGTCAGGATTTGGAACTTGAGGAGTAGCTTCATATCAGAACTCTTAACCACATGGAGAGGCCAGCATCCTAGAAAGAAGCTATTTGGGGAACACAGTTACATTGATTCAACCTTTTGCTAACTCTGCACCCACTGTAAAAACTAACTTCAGATGTTGGAGTAGGTTTCTCAGCCCAGCTTGTGTCCAGGACCAACAATGTAGAGGCTCCAATGCTATTTTTCTCTTTCTAGACTTGGAACTGAATTGAGAGGAGTAACCCAGTGTTCCTTTAACAATTATTTACTGACACATGCTGTGCACTGGGCACTTTGCTGCAACCTGGGATAGGCAGGAGAGGATCCCTGAGAACAGCCTCTTGGAAGTAGCGGGGAGAAAGGCCACTACAAATAGTCTCATTCAACATAAATACTTTGATCTAAAATTTCAGAGTTTAAATATGATGACTAAATGACTAGCATATTCAAAGAATACACACAAAAAAAATAAAAAACAAAACAAATCCATGTCATACTTACTTCACAGCCTTACTAAATAAAGACACTGTGTACATTCCCACTTGACTGGAATTTCTAACCATAAATGCTCCTTCTTTTCCCTGAAAAGGAAGGAAAATGAAAAGAAACAGAAAACATTTTTGTTGTCCTTGAAAATGATTTTTTTTCTGGTAGGCAGTAGGAAACTAGATCTTTTAGATTCGCTTTATTTTTTTGTACTTTTAAAAAAATTTATCTTTATTGTTGAAAGTATTGCAGATGTCCCCTTTGTTTGTTTTTCCCCCATTGACTCCCTCTTCCCCATACTCACCCCTCCCAAACCTTCACCACCCTATTGTCTGGGTCCATGGGCTATGCATATATACATATATATTCCCCGGTTAATCTCTTCCCACCCCCACTTCCCCACCCCCACCTCCATCTGAAAGTCACCAGTCTGTTCCATGGTTCTATGTCTCTGGATCTATTTTGTTCATCACTTTATTTTGTCCATCAGTTTATTTTGTTCATTAGAGTCCATAAATGAGTGAGATCATGTGATATTTATCTTTCTCTGACTGGCTTATTTCACTTAACATAATACTCTCCAGGTCCATCCATGCTGTTGCAAATGTAAGAGATCCTACTCATAGATTCACTTTAAATCTCATTGATGGCACAGATTATTCAACAGTTGGTGCAGAAGGGGATCCACAGTGTAGCTTTCTTCCTTTTCTCATTCAGTTTCTTTACAGATCTACCCTGTGTGCTGCAACTTTTTCTTACCAGTTAACTTTGAATCCTCCCTGATAATTTCCTCTGTTTTGTATTTATGTAAGCCTAATGTTTTAATCTTTCAGAAATAAAATTTAAAAGCACATATCATCATATCATACTCTTGAAAGTTTTAGAAAACCAAAGGTGTAGAACAAATCTTTTAGTTCTATGCTCAACTTGTCTTTCTTAAGGACTTGGGTTAATTCTAAACAAATCCACATTCAGAAAGAGTAGATAAAAAACTAAGAATGTGTCAAAATACCAAGTTAGTGAAGTCCCCTCTCACTTTGACTCTTGGCTGGACCATGTGACTTTTTTTGGCCAATGAGACATTAGCAAACATGAAAAAAACAGAGACTTGATAGTGCTTGCACTGAACTGTAGGGCTCATCCTCTTCAACCACTGCCTTGAGATTACCATGCTGTTAGGAAGCTCAAATTAGCCACATGGAGAAGAACTACGGCATCCAGGTTGATTGATTCAGCTAACCCCAACCCCCCAGTGACTGCATCCACATGAGTGACCCTATACCAAACCTGCATAAAAACTGCTAACCCAGCTGAATCACTTACAGAATTGTGAGAAATCATAAATGTTGTTGTTTCAAGCCATTAAATTTTGAAGTGGTTTATTATACAGAAACTAGAGGCCCAGTGCACAAAAATTTGTGCACTCGGTGGGGAGGGGGGCCCCTCAGCCCAGCCTGTGCCCTCTCGCAGTCTGGGACCCCTCGGGAGATAACGACCTGATGGCTTAGGCCTGCTCCCGGGTGGCAGAGGGCAGGCCCAATCCCTAGGTGCAGCCCCTGGTCGGGCTCAGAGCAGGGCTGATTGGGGAGTTGGGGCACCACCCCCTGTCATGCACAGAGCAGGGCGGATTGGGAGGTTGCGATGCCACCCTCAGTCACGCTCAGGGTAGGGCCGATTGGGGGGTTGGGGCACCGCCCCCTGTCACACTCAAGACAAGGTCGATGGGGAGGTTGTGGCGCCACCCCCTGTCACGCACAGAGCAGGGCCAATCAGGGGGTTGGGGCGCTGCCCCCATCACGCACAGAGCAGGTCCGATCAGGGTGTTGGGGAGCTCCCCCCTGTCACGCACAGAGCAGGGCCAATCAGGGTGTTGGGGAGCTCCCCCCTGTCATGCACAGAGCAGGGCCGATCAGGGGGTTGCGGAGCCACCCTCTATCACCCACAGAGCAGGGCCGATCATGGGGTTGGGGTGCCGCCACTCTCACACTCAGGGCAGGGCCGATGGGGAGGTTATGGCTCTATCCCGTCATACACAGAGCAGGGCCCGTGGGGGGGGAGGGGGTTGGGGCGCCGCACCCTGTCACACACAGAGCCACAGGGCGATCAGGGGGTTTGGGCGCTGCCCCCTGTCACGCTGATCCCAGTGCCAGGAGGCCTCATGGCTCCACTGATCCCAGTGCTGGGAGGCATATTACCCTTTTACTATATAGGGTAGAGTCCTGGTGCATGGGTGGGTGCCGGCTGGTTTGTGAAGTGTGATTTTTGGAGACACCTAAAGGGTGTCCTGGATCAGGGTGGGGGTCCCCACTGGGGTGCCTGGCCAGCCTGGGTGAGGGGATGATGGCTGTTTTCAGGCTGGGGGTGACTGAAGCTCCCAACTGCTCCTTTTTTTCTTTTTTTTTAATTCTGGGCCAGCTTTACCTTTGAGGCTTGGCTCCAGCTCTTAGGCCTCCGCTGCTGAAAGTAGGTTTCTGGCCTTTGCTACAATGTTGCGATCCTGCTGGCTGAAGCCCGGCAGGTTTCTGGGGTTTTGTTTAGCTTCTATGTTTGTTACATAGTTGCTTGCAGCTCAGAGGCCTGCAGTGGCAGGCGGGGAACGTTGGAGTCCTCTGTCACTGAAGCAAGCAAGCCTCATGTTAGTTTCAAGCTGCCTGGCTGATGGCCGCCATGTTGGCTGACAGTTAATTTGCATATTGCCCTGATTAGCCAATGGGAAGGGTAGCGGTCGTACGCCAATTACCATGTTTCTCTTTTATTAGTGTATATATATAATGGGAACAGGGGAAGTAGCTATATGTGAAGGGCATGGTAACCTATAGGCTGGACAACCAACACTATGATGATGCGACTGCCTAATTAGCACTAAGGTTTCTATAAAAAGTGCATTATCCTCTAGACCAGTGATGGCGAACCTATGACATGTGTGTCAGAGGTGACACGCGAACTCATTTTTTGGTTGATTTTTCTTTGTTAAATGGCATTTAAATATATAAAATAAATATCAAAAATATAAGTGTTTTACTATGGTTGCAAAGATCAAAAAATTTCTATATGTGACACAGCACCAGAGTTAAGTTAGGGTTTTTCAAAATGCTGACACGCCGAGCTCAAAGGGTTCACCATCACTGGTCTAGACCCAACAATAGAAAGAGATTCTTAGGTGCTATTTTAAAGATCAGATTATTTACCTTTTGTCTCAGTAACTGTTCAGCTTGTGACCTGGAGATGTTACCTGCAAACCAGCTGCAATAGGAAAGAATTCAATATTTGACAGTTAGTAATGTTTAATTGCATAATTTGTCATTCAGCTTTCAAACCTATAAATTGAGACATTGGCCTAGATCAGGGATTTCCAAACCTGGCTGCTCCAGAGAATCACCTGAGGAACTTTTCAGAAATACAGATTCCTGAATCTCCACCCCCCAATTATGATTCTGGGTAGGGCCTGTATATCTTTAATTTTAAGTGGGTTGGCATTTAAGAACCTTTGGCCTCCTTCTAGGTCAGCGGTTCTCAACCTTCTGGCCCTTTAAATACCGTTCCTCATGTTGTGACCCAACCATAAAATTATTTTCGTTGCTACTTCATAACTGTCATGTTGCTCCTGTGATGAATCCTCATGTAAATATCTGATCTGCAGGATGGTCTTAGGCGACCCCTGTGAAAGGGTCGTTCGACCGCCAAAGGGGTTGCGACCCATAGGTTGAGAACCGCTGTTCTAGGTGATCTCTGAAATACAATAGAAACATCTCTGTCTAGTTTTAGAGAGACAGAGAAATTTCAAAACTCACTCTTGGTCATCCAGGTTTTCCTCTTCTTCAGATGAACTTGACTCAGGGAATCCCCTTAAGAAGAGAGGAATCGAATGAATCAAAAAAACACCAAGAAATAATCCAAGTATCTAGCAGTACAATATCAAATCCCACCCTGCTTTCATCCACGTAAATGAAAAGTAGACTATTAGGTTTCCCTTTTTGCACTTGGGAAGGCATCAGCAAAGTGAAGAGACAGTGACTCAAAAACTGAGTTCATGCTCAGTTTAATGAGAAAATGGCTGTTTGATACAAGAAGTCCCCAGGAGGCCCTCAGGAATGTGGATTTCATTGAGTCTTTCAGAAAAGTGGGCTCATGAAATAGATGAAGATGCCTTCAGGGGCAGCTGTAGTATAAAGTTAAAAAAAATCGCAGGTTGTGTATAGAACTATTCTTAGAGAAGAGTTATTTAACTCTAGGTTATTTCTTTTTCCTCCTGCTAGAGATGCCTGAGCCAGGTATATTAGTGTTCATGTTAACATCAGTGTGCGTCACCAATGATGGAAGTGACAAATCAGAGTGAGGGTAATGGTAACCCACAAGTTATCAATTCAGACCAATTTAAGGTTTCAGAGAAGCAAACTACATAAATTTGGGGGGGGGGGTACTTTAAATGTAAAGTCTAGTTGCAAAATTGCTGCAAATTTGGTTAGTTTTCCTGCAAATGAAAGCAAATCCCCAGGGTAAAGGACTATCTGAATTTGATATACCATGACATCTTTGAAGTGCTGTGATTCACATTTTTTTCTCTTTGGTTGCTGCATGCAAAATCCTCACTGCTATAAAAAAAAGAGATACATTTCATAAATTTATATTTATTTCTAAATGTTAAATGACAAAAGTAATTTTGTTAGATACGTTTTAGCTTTATTAAACATTGCAACCCATGTGTTTCACTTGCTTTGGAAATTTAAGCTAATGAGTCATTGTCACATTTCTGTCCTTGCAGGGTCTCCAATAAAAAGCAGTGGTTTGACAGTATTCGTAGACAAAAGCAAATTGTTAAAAATGGCTCATAATAGAGTTCCAAACAATAGAAAATTTGGATTAATGAAACATCTTTACTGGTTTTGCCCTGCTTTTCTTATAGATATATGCAAGCATTCTATTGCATCCATGTTTAAAATAGGTTATTTTTTTCTTTGCTGTTGTGATTAGAATTAAAAGTCTTGAAAATACTGAACTTTTAACTCCATGTAGACACAGATGGATGAGCAAAATTTTTATCATCCTCTGTCATCCATCCTTTTCTCTTTGATTTTGGGTGTTGAGCAGAGCATGAGGACTTATCCAAGTTCAAAGTCTGTTTTACTTGGAATGTAATACCTATTTCCTGTTTGCCTTCGTATCCCAGGCTCTTATTCAAAAATCACACTTCAGAACTGACAAGTTTTCTTAACAAGGAAATGCTCCTCTGGTTCCATTTCCAGGAGTGCCTCCCTCTCCACCTTCCCAAACATCCTTGCTCACTAGCATAGCTTTTTCACTTCATCTCTTCAGAAGAAAATTCATATTTAAAAATGCTAAAAATATAGTTAAAATTTTTCAACTAAAATTTTTTAATTAAAAACTTTGTCCATAACTGAATTGCTATATAGACATTCAAAATAGTGAGGTAGGTTGCATAGCAATGTGAATGTACTTAACACTACTGAACTGTACACTTAAAAATGACTAAAATGGTAAATTTTGTTATGTTGTACCACAATTAAATTTTTTAAGTTAAAAAATAAGTATATCTTCATGTATGCAAATGGGGAAAATATCTAAGATGTTAGGTAAATAGAGCAAGTGGCAAAGAAGACTATGTGGTAAGAATCTGATTTTTAAATTCTATATATATGGCAACATGCATAGAAAACATTTTAAGGAAAATACATAGAAGAATCTACAATGTTTGAATGCTTTAATTAGAACATGGTTTATTTTACTGCTCAGAAAAATAGAGTAAAAAGCAGCTCAGGCTAAGATAGTATGAATGACAGAAAGACGTACTTATATGAGTTGAGAATCATGACTGTATTTTTACCATTCAAGCTCCATGAAGACCTTTTAGCAATTATTATAATTCATTTATAGGTGATGTAATGCTGCTCGTGTTAAGAAGTGATTAATCAATCCTTTGTTCAGACAGCTAGTTTCCTGAAGTTCTAGGGAAAAACCTAGGGTTGGGACTATATCCTGGGTGCAAAAGCTAAGGGTGGTGTAAAAAAAACCTCAGTATCCAAGATAAATAGTGTTTTAATAAAATATTTTTAAAATAAAAATTAATGCAAAAAATCCATGATGAACAAAATATCAACATTTTAAAGAAAGCTAGGATTTGGCAGTCTAGTTGGTAGCTCTGCAGCAACCCCATATGAATCAATAGTGCTGACTACTTATTTGAATACTAGTCAGTCAGTTTCACTGCACACCTCCCTCGATGAATCACTTGGGCCTCTGGCAGGAAGGGGAGCTGGCACAAAGTTGACATGACATTCACCCTCCTTGAATCTGGGCTTATTGTCTCCTTATTGTCTCCTTCCAAGAACACTAGGCTTCAGGCAAATAAATGTAACTCCTGTCCTCAGACACCAGCCATAGATTAATACATTTGGATTCTATCTCCACTTTGAAATGAAAGCTACCATGACTTGTTATACTGAAGACAATAGCAAGAATACATTTATATCATTTCAAGTTCCATATAGCCCCTATGGCTGTATCATTGGTACAGTGAGGCATTTGCTTTAGGTAAAAATGATGAAGATGGAAAGAATTAAACAATAAAAGGACAAGGGAGAAAACAAAAGAGATACATGGTGAGTCAGAGAGATTCTCTGCATGCTTTGTAAAGAAATACAAACACCAGTGCCCTGGAGGGATGCTAATAGCTGGGTGAGAAGATGTCAGACAGTGAATAGCATGATGGGGAGGAAGTATAAGGCGGCACATAAGGAAGGGTAGTCAATTGACCCTTTCTCTATTGTCACCTTACAATTCAATTTTATATTTAGTGAGCATCAAGTGTGGGGCTGACTTGGTACTAAACCCCAGAGATATACAGTTTAGGTACTGTCTTCAAGGTAGTTTCAGTTTTGGCTTTAGGTAGCCTCTTCTGGCTTAAAAACACGAGGAGACTAATCACATCCTCGGGAGGCAAGCTTAAAATGCTACTTGTCATTTGGCCAGTGATGCCCAAGCACTTTACAAGTCAGCCCACTCTAAACTCTCTTCATATAAAGAACATAATGTAAATATTCTGAGTTCTGGAATGTGGGGTTATTAGGAGGGAAGGGGAAAGAAAGAAGATGGAATAAAATGCTCAAGTATTACTTAAATCATTGGATTGGACAGACTAAATGGAAATACTGTGCTGCTCAGTCGCAGTGGGGCCACTGCTTCTGGCTCAAACAGTGAACATTTTGTAACAAGACAACCCTATCTCAGCTAAGGTCTTTGAGAATGAGGTCCAAGGCAGTGGTGTAATGTTTATTCTACCTGCTGAGCAACCAGACTGAGAACTGAGGTTTACCTTTTCAGTTTTCTTACTTGCCACCAGTCAGGGCAATCTTCCCTTGGAACATACTGCATATTGACGTTTGGCTGGGAGTCATAGCTTTTCTTTGAGTCACTTTCATACTGGACTAGAGTGGTACTTGAGGATGGTTCATCCATTTTGAAAATAGGAACTGCTCGAGGAATCTTCAGCTTTAAAGGATAATATATATTAATAGATCACAGTGAAGCACACAGATTCATGTACCAGGAACTAACAACCTAGGTATATCAGATCTTAAATTAAAAATGAAGGAAGTAAAGAGTGAAGGAAAGAAGGAGGGAAGGAGAGAGAGAGGAAAGAAGGGAGGGAAGGGGAAAAGAGAAAACAAAAGAAAGAGAAAGAAATAGAGTGAAAGAAAAAAGAGGAAGGAAGGGAGTAATATAACAGAAACTGTCAACTTTGCTGGTTGGAGTTTGTAGTGGTAGAACCATATTGAAAAGCTGTTTACAGAATCTACTAAAGCTGGACGTGCATATACCCTATGATCTATAAACAAGGAAATCAAAAGACATGTAAAAGAATGCTCATAGTAGAATTATTTAAGTTAGCTAAAATTGGAAATTACCTAAATTTTATCAGGATAAATATATTGTGGTTGTAATAGGCTAGATAATGTTCCCTCAAAGATGTTCATGTCCTGGTCCCTGGGACCTGTGAATATGTTACCTTACATGGTAAGAGGGACTTTGTAGATGTGATTAATTTAGGGATCTTGAAGTGGGGAGATTACCCTAGATTATTGGGGTAGGTCCAATATAATCAAAAGGGCCCTTATAAGAGGAAGACAGGAAAGTCAGATTAAAGAGAAAATGTGTGTATGGAAGCCGAGATCAGAGAGGAAAGAAGATGCTACCCTACTGGTGTTGGAGATGGAAGAACTGTTCAGGAACCAAGGAACACAGGTAGCCTCTAGTCTGGAACCTGGAATAGATTTCCCCCTAAAATCTACAGAAGGAATACGGTTTTGTGGACCCATTTTAGACTTCTGATCTTCAGAACTACAAAAGAATAACTTGTTGCTTAAAGTCACTAAATTTGTGGTATTTTGTTACAACAGCAATAAGAAACTAATACAGTGAGTTCTGGCCAGTGTTCTCAGTGGTTAGAGTGTCAGCCCACGCACCAAAGGGTTGCATGTTTGATTCCCAGTCAAGGGCACATATCTGAGTTGCAGGATCACTCGCGCCACCCCTCCTCCCCAGGTCAGGGCTCATTTGAAAGGCAACCAATCTATGTGTCTCTCTCAACTCCATGTTTCTCTCTCTCTCTCTCTCTCTCTCTCTCTCTCTCTCTCTCTCTCTCTCTCTCTCCCCCTCTCTCCTCCTCCTCCTCCTCCTCCTCCTCCTCCTCCTCCTCCTCCTCTTCCCCTCAGGTGATGATTAACAACAACAAAAAAATAAACTAATACAGTGGCATATTCACACACTGGAATTCTATATGGCAATGAGAATAAATTATAACCACATAATAAAAAATGAGAAAATCTAATAAATTGAACAAAAGAAGTCAGACAATAAACAACTATATGATTCCACTTATATAAAGGTTCAAAGCAGGCAAATAATCTATAATGCTATAAATCAGGCTAGTGATTACTCTTGGTGGAATGTAGTAACTGAAAGGAAGTATGAGGGTACCCCTAGGGTTCTGTGATCTGTTCCTTAATGTGAATGTGGGTTGTAAAGATGTGTTCAGTTTGTAAAAATTTATCAAACTGAACATATTTAGGACTTGTACACTTTTCTAAGTGCATGTTATACTTCAATTAGAAATTTACTATATATATATATATATATATATATATATATATATATATATATATATATATACATACTCTGAATTTTTATTTTTCCACACTGTAGTTTACTTTTTTTTTCCAGGGAGTAGCATCCTGGAAATTTTAGTTATGCAGGACACTGCAATTTATGAGCTTGGAGTGGTTATCTTCAAAGATAAATGCAGTGGAAAGTTCCCTAATCAGAAATCTAAACAGAATAGCTAGAAAGCAAATTTTAATTTTCGTCAGCTCAGTAAGTCCTCTACTGAATATTCTGATAAAAAACAAAACAAATGAAAACATACTTTTCACAATACTCTCTCTGATCCCTGAGCCCTTATGGCAGCTTATAATCAAAACAGACCTTGGTCACTGATTTGCCTGACTGATAATTTTCAACACGTTTCCCAAAGAATTCCTTGCCCTAGACTAGATGCAATGGTGTCTGGCTCCTAAATTATACTTTGCTCTTAGTTGTGTTTAAAACAAACTTTATTGGAATATAATTTACATACCATAAAATTCACTTTTTATAATTCAGTGACTTTTAGTAAATTTATCAAGTTGGGCAACTATCATATCACTACAACCCAGTCTGAGCACATTACTATCACCTCTGTAAGATCCCTATTGTCCTTTTATAGGCAATCCCCATTCCCATCCTGGCCTCAGGCAACCACTAATTGACCATTTGTCTCTATAAACTTGTAGTCTGGACATTGCTCTTAGTGTTTCACAAGGCCATAATTTTTAAGCTTCAGGACTGGAGCATGCATCCAAGACAAAACAGCAATGTCACTGATAAGAAAAAAACACACCCAAACCTTAATAATTGTATTAGTTTCCTGAGGACTGCCAAAACAAATTAGTACATATTTGGTGGGTTAAAGCAACAATCTGTCACAATTCTGGAGGTTAGAAGTCCAAAATCAAGGCTTCAGCATGACCATGCTCCCTTGAAAAGCTCTAGGAGAGAATCTTTGCTTGCCTCTTTCAGCTTCTGGTGGTTCTAGACATTTTTTGCCCTGTGGCAGCATGACTCCAATATCTGCCTAGGTCTTTAAATGGCCGCCTTCTCTATGTATCTCTATGTCTTGTCATCTTGTAAGGATAGCAGCCATTGGATTTATGGACCATCCTAATCCAGTATTATCTCAACTTAGTCCTTAACTAATTACATCAGCAAATAACTTGTTTAGGTCACAATCTGACCTGTTATATGTGATGCTATCTCCCACATGCACCATTTTAGTGACTATATATATGCTTACAGGGTGAACATAAAATTTGGGGGACACAATTCAACCTACTATAATAAGGTATTTATTTTTGTCCTTCATGTTGGTTCACAAAGATTATATTGTTTTTACTTAGAAAGATAGAAGTAGTGTGTGTGAATGTGTGCAATTGAAAATAAGTATCCAAGGCACCATAGAGCTGATGGGTGGGTGGAGATGCTCCTTTAATTTCAGGTGAACTTCCAGAGAATCACTGGGAGGCCATTTTATGTCTCTTTTGGCATTTGAGGAGGCTGATGCCCACCTGGGGAAACTAAAAGCAGGAGACCATGGCTATGAACTCAAGAAAGCAGAGCACAAGGAGAGCAGCAACCTGTACTGTGAGAGCAAGCCGCATACAGTTTCACTAAGTAAAGCATCCAAGGTTTCGTTTGTTTTTCTGGAGGCCAACTTCACCCCTGGGAGAGGGCTGGCTGGAAGCCATCTTGAAAACTCTGCTCAAAATTGGTGAACTGACCCAGCAGAAAAATTGGGGGCTAAAATCCCAAGAGCTAAGAGTCAAGACATTTCCTCTGTCGTAAAACTACATGTTCCCAGTGGGAAACCCAGAAAAGTCCCCCATAAGATAAAGAATTGGCATTGGAAAAGCCGCCACTACCAAAGCCCCTAAAGCAGGCCGTCCTCTGATGCAGACTTGAGCTAGGTAAAGGAGAAAAGTTTTAACTTGCAAAGATGTTCAAAGTTGAGTGATTATAGCAGGGGTCCTCAAACTTTTTAAACAGGGGGCCAGTTCACTGTCCCTCAGACCGTTGGAGGGCCGGACTATAGTTAAAAAAAATAACTATGAACAAATTTCTATGCACACTGCACATATCTTATTTTGAAGTAATAAAACGGGAACAAATACAATATTTGTATTTGCATGTGGCCCGCGGGCCGTAGATTGAGGACCCCTGGATTATAGCATTGGATGGGACAATTAGAGGCTATTCTCATGACTACTGGTAACTGGGAAAATTTATATGACCTGAGAGTGACTAGAAGAAAGCCCACCGAGTGGCTTTGAAAGGATAATGGAGAGAAAGAAGTATGTTGTTTTCTGCTAGTGCTCTATGTGGTCCCATTCCTTCACCAGATTTCCATGAGGCAGTCTTGGCCATGCTAGTGGTAGTTCAGGAATGATACCTAGTAACAGCTGCCTGTTATATGTGATGCTATCTCCCACATGCACCATTTTAGTGACTATTTATGTGCTTACAGGTTAGAAAAAGGCCCTGTTATTAAATCTAAAAATACAAAATGGTTAATGGTCCTGTATTTGAGTTCATTATTTGACATTGCCATTGCTATTGATGATGGTTCAGTTTTTCTCTCTTTGCTGGCAGTTTGAAGGAAGTCTATATTTTCTAGTCTTGAATCTGGCAACTCTTGATTTATTTACTAAATCCTGATCATGAGAAAAATTAACTGTTGACTTACCATTCTGTCTGGGAAGGCGGGAATTCTCAGTTTCTCTTCCTTTGTTGCAATGTGCAGATCAGCATCTGAAAAATAGAACCAAGTAATATCAGAAGTAACTTTAAATAAAACAAAGCAAAATATCTAATGTTATGATTCAAACGATCTAGCTTATGTAATACATACTGCAGATTAAATAAATTTAGACACAATATCTTGAGTTATTGTTGCTTTCCTGTATAATACCCAAATAAAACACCACTCCCCACCATCATCAGTATTCTCCAAAAATAGATAAAAGAGTCAAGTTCCTCTAAGTCCTAAAAACTATTTATACCAAATTTCCACCTTGTATTTGAGTAGCATATATCTAATTGCTTAGGAAGGACCTGTGACCCTAGGATTCAGATTCACGTCCAATTCATCTTTAATTGACTCATACAAGATTCTTATAAATAGCTGATTTATTAATGAACAAACCTGTTTTATTCATTTTTCTATTCTTATGATAATTGTTGGTTTCTCTTTCCTCCCACACATATAGATAAATATCCAGGCAGTGAATGTGAAGCTATTATATGCCTTATAAATGGGCTGGCCATGTGGTTTATTGACCAAACTGGAACATTCCTGACCGTGATAAGTAGGTTTTTAATATAATTATACCAGGTCACCAGGTGTAGAATGAGACTGTCCCAAACAAACTGGGGTGTATGGTCAACTTTTTCCTAGGACACGTACCCTGGAAAGAGGGTGGCCCAGGGCATTTTGGAGACAGAAGGAAGCAAAGACACTCAATCACTTCCTTTATGTGCCCATGAAGCTTTCCTATAACTCAGCAAAGGAGTCAAGATAGTAAATTACACTTGGACAGATAGACAATATTACAGCTGCTGTGAGACAGAATACTTCTATATTCTGCAGTTTCTTCAGAGGCTGGGGAAGAGCCTGTGGCACTTAGAACACATGGCAGGTGGCATCCAGCTGGAGCTTAGAAAGTTAATCCAAAGGCAATGCTTTCTCTGGCCTTTCTCCTGATCTTCCCCTGGGAGTGAGGGCAAGGTCAGAGTTGGAATCTGTCCTGCTGGGTAATGATATCAGATCATGGACAGAATAATTGGGGGAAATGATTAATGCTGTAAGGAGACATTATTCTTCAGTCCCTCACAGTGGAGGGAAAATCCACATACAGTAAATTCTGAATAGTTCATTAAATCACTATAATTCAAGAGTATAAAGGGCAATGTGATCTCATTAAGATGAATAAATATTCATTGTGTAGTCTAATTGAAATGGAATACACAATGCATATTAATTCATTGATTTTGTTGTAAAATGACCAGCAGTAACATTAGAATTAACATAATTGTCAGGTGTCAATACTGTTATAAAGTGAATGTGGATAACATTCCATATTGTCTCTGTGTGTTACAGTTTATAAAGTTTTATCACACAGTTGATCTCATTCAATTCTTTAAAGTCATAGTAATCCAAGCAAATTTTGTTCAGGCCGCTAAAACTGTTATTACTTATTGACAACTTCATATCATTAAACAATGGTAAACTAAAATATATAACACTGTCTCATGTAAGTATCCTGGTGAAGGAATGGGACTCAAGGGTGCAAGAAGAAAATAACATAATTCTCTCCCTCCATTATCCCTTCAAAACCACCCCGTGGACTTTCTTTTCTGTCCCCAGATAAAATCTCAGGTAGATTTCTCTAGGAATATAACTCTGGATAGAACCCTTTACTACCTCTTCTGATGTTATTAAGAAATCAACAAACATGTAGAGGATGGCAAACCACTTTAAATATATATCTTAAAACTTGGCCATCCATCATTGTGTTATATATGGTGATTAAAAGTTTTACTTAAAATGTTATCCATTGACATATTTTTTAAAAGAATGTTTTTTTCAGTTTATGATTTAATTTATGAACCATGGTGATATGTTCACCATGTTCTACCTATTTGGAGTTTATCTTAAACCAGAAAGAATTACAGGAGGGAATAAACAGGTTGATTTATTATTCAAATTTGAAAAATGTTTCTCATGGAATAAAAGAATGACAGATGTTAATATTGTTATTATTTTAATAAACATTACCCAATTGACCCTAGAATTAGATTTCATTTGCCAGATAGCATCTGTGTGGCTGAAATTTCATGATGCCAACCAATATGGCACACCTTGTTTTCCTGAACTGGCGAGCTGTTTTGGCTTGTGGCAGATTTGCCTAATGGGGCACCATCTACCCAGGGTCCACCCAATAGAGGGGTCACCTTACATGCTTCCCAGAGAGTACATCCTGGGGCCGCTTTGCAACTCTGCTGGCAGCACAGGAACTTCCCGTCCACGAAGAACCCACTGTGGTACTTGATCAGCAGGTGGGGGTTGCCCCTTATCTCTGGGGAGCAGGCAGGAAGAAAACACATTCAGTAAGTGCTTTTATCAAAGAACAATGAAAACATCATTTTTGCCAGCAACCAGGGTAAGAGCAAATGGTTCCCAAAGGATATGTCTTTCACTTAGAAGTTAAAAAGCCCAAAAGAAAAATCTAACCATGTGTATAGAAAGAACAACTCAATAACTATATCAGTTTTTTTAAAAAAACTAGTAGAAAATGCATATACAGATCAGCTTGGTGTTAGGATTTTAGAAATGCATTCGTAAAGGAAGTAAGCATGTTATAGCACATGCATGTTGTGCTCTTGTAGCAGAAAGAGTCTGAAGGGTAGGACTAGATATTAGCAAAAAGAAAAAAAGGTTGTAATAAATATATACATCCCCCCACTTTTTATTTTGAAACATTTCAAACATACAGAAAAGTAGCAAGACTGGTACAATGAATGTCCGTATACCCTTTACCCAGATTCAATTTTTAACTGTTTGCCACATTTGCTTTCTCTCTCTCTCTCTCTCTCTCTCTCTCTCTCTCTCTCTCTCTCTCTCTATATATATATATATATATATATATATATATATACCTATAGCTCTCTCTATATATCTATTTAGATTTTATTTTTTAATTCTTTATTGTTAAAAGTATTACATAAGTCACATTTTCCCCCACTGACCTCTCCCCAGCCGTCCCCACCCCCCAGCACTTTATATTTAGATTGTAAATTATTGTTATATTTGCTTGACCATTTGAGAGCAAGTACAGATATTATGACCTTAGTAATGTCACTCACAAATACTTCAGCATGTAACTTCTGTTAACAAGGACATGCCTTTATATAATCACAATGAAATTATCAAATTCAGGAAGTTTAACACATATACAATACTATTACTTAATATATATTTCATATTCAATTCTTTTCTCTTTGTCCCCATAATATCCTTTTTTTTTTTATATATTTTATTGATTTTTTACAGAGAGGAAGGGAGAAAGATAGAGAGTTAGAAACATCGATGAGCGAGAAACATTGATCAGCTGCCTCCTGCACATCTCCCACTGGGGATGTGCCTGCAACCCAGGTACATGCCCTTGACCGGAATCGAACCTGGGACCCTTCAGTCCGCAGGCTGACGCTCTATCCACTGAGCCAAACCGGTTTCGGCCATAATATCCTTTTTAATCATTCATTTTCTTTTGATCTAGGATCCAACCCAGAGTCATGGCATTTAGTTATCTAGTTTCCCTTGATATAGAACAGTTTCTCATTTTGTCGTTCATGACTTTGAACTGTTTACACTAAGGACTTAATGGTTTATGGGGCTACTTTTCTAGGAATGTGTGCATATTTTAAAACCCATGGAAACAGGACAAAGAAATCCAAAGAAATGAAATTGTTAGAGTGTCTACAGCAAGCTAGTGTCTCTCAAAACAGCAGAGAAACCTACAAGGTCTTAGTAGATAATAGTTCAAAAAGAAACTCTAGATGGGGAGGGTTGGTGCTACATGTGGCTTCAACTCTTTCCATCTTGATTTTTTATTCATCTTAAGGACTTCTTATTTTGATCCCAAGGGATTTCTGCTCCTCCTTAACCCTGACTCAAGGAAGTGTATGGAGAGAATAATAACCACTTTGCTGGGTCATTGAGAAATGTATGTAAAGTGTCCAGCACAGTGTTTGGCTCAGAGTAGGTGTTCAATAAACAGTGGGCTTTAGTAATATTATTCTTAGTTTAACTCAGCTCAGCTTACCTGAAAAGCCTGGCATTAAAAGAAATATCACTAAGTGCTAATGAGAATTAAAAATAAATTATTATAGAAACCACAGCAAACAAAAGGAGTTAAGTTTAGAAAACACTAGTTTCTGACCTTGAGCTTTCCCAGAAGCCTAGCATATATACTGTATTGGTTAAAAAGCTGGATTTGGGTAATTGAATTGTGAGTTTTCCATTGCTAGGTATGTGACATTGGCCATGTCTCTTTCACTTATCTGAAAAAAATGGAGACTATATGACCCATTTTCACAGAGTTGTCAAGAGGGTTACCTAAGAAAATGTTTTACAAGTACTTGATACAATAGCTGGCAAATGATAAGTGCTTAGTAAGTGTTAGCTATGACTTTAAATAAATATCCAAAGTACAGTAACTATAGGACCTGACATAACCCCAGAAGGACCTAGACTAGACTTTGCCCTGGAAAGGCAAGCAAAGTGGGTGGGGAGCAGGTGGCCTGGCTTCCTCCAAGCTGCTGGGAAGGACAATAGCCAGCACTGTGCAGGGCAGGGAAGGGGCAAGAAGGGTATCTGATACCCAAGCTTCTCCTATGTAACAATGAGAATGCAAAATGAGGACAAGCATGACATATTCTCTGAGGTTGGTAGGAAAATCAGTAGATTTTGTCTTGGCATTGAGTCCTTTCACTGTCCTGTGTTTCTTCCACCAACCCTCAAAAGAACTCAATTGATGACTCCCTTTTATGGCTGTTTAAAATTACCATTTTGTAATGCTTTCAACCACTGACTTCGGCTCTCTTCATTTGATGCATAGACATAGAGAAGCCCATCTTTATAGACAATCTGGAAAGGAAAAGATTTAGTGCATTTAGCTATAATTGCATCATAGTTCACTATGGTGCAACTGCAAATTTTCTGTTATCCAAAAGAGACCTTGAGTTTGCTTATATAATATCCATTAGCTCTGGAATTAGGTAGAAAAAAGTCTAGTTATTTTTATCCTCCACCTTTCAATGTGTTTTATCCCAGACACCTCTACACTTTGGAAAATCACAGCAGAGAATTAGAAAATTATAAAATGTTAGATATAACAGATGTCTTAGTGTTATGGTATATCCACCTACCCAGTACATGACTCCTTTTACAGCCAGTTGGAAAATGTTTATCTGCTGTATTCTTTTTTTTAAATTTAATGAGGCCTTTTATTAAAAAAAGATAAAGACTGGTAATAAACAAATAAACATACAGCACATATGCTGTATAGTTAGAGGGATATCCTCAATATCTTTTCTTTATTTCTTTTTTTTATTGCTTAAAGTATTACAAAGAGTATTACATATGTTTCCTCCCCCCCCCCTTGACATCTGCTGTATTCTTAAAAATACTTTCAGGGATAGAATGTCCTTCATTTCTACTATGCCATCCTCAACAATTTTCATATAGTCTTATCATTATACAGTTTATGCTTATAGTGAGTAAAAATATGTCTCCCTGGGACTTATCTCTTTGAGTCATGTCCCACTCTAACAATCCTCAGCATGTCATTTTTCTATTCTTTAAGACACTTGTTTAAATGTTTGAGGATTACAATGTCTCCCCAGATCCTTCTCTAGTTTACTCACTTTTGTGGGGAAATAATACAGACCATTTGTTAAACACCTACTTGTTTGGAAGATCTTTCCTAGATGCTTTAATCCTATTTCAAATTTGTGAAAAAAATTGATTATGCCCATTTTTCAAGTGAAAAATAAACTCAGAAACTGAGTATGTTGTCCATGGTTACACAAGTACAAGCAGTGGCCAGGAGCTCTGTGGGGCTCCAAAGCCTGTGTCCTTTAAGTACTTCATACCCCTGTGATACAAATTTGAAGCATCTTCCATGAACACACACTTCCCTGGTTTCTCCCAATTGGGTAATGATCTTTTTTAAGTCTGGAAGGACAAATTGTTCAGCAATCAGATTATTTTATTTCATTTTTAGCCACAGTTTTTTTAATACTAGCACTGGGTAGTCTGAACAATGGAAGGGTAGTCCATCTGCTTTTACATCAGAAAGATAGCTATTCATGATATAATAAAAGTAGGGCTTGACTTAATTCAAGCCACTTCCTAAGGCTACTGTAGGCACACTCCCACCTCCTATCTAGAAATGTTCCAAGCCTTGTCATTGTCTTAGTGAATCATTTTGCAGTATCTTTATTTATCCCCACTATATTGAGTTCATAATAGAAAATATTAAAAGAAGATCCATCCATCCAATGGAATGTTGCCTCCCCCCTTACCTGAAATGGGTACTGTCTCTCCACAGGGGTCTGCTCCTCAAGATTGACTTTCTCCACACATCTGATGTTCTTAATATCAATTGATCCTTTTCTGCTACCTCTTTTCTGAATTAAAAAATATATAAGATGCTTCATGTAATACACAATGGTGCACAAAGAAAAGCATAAACTTAAGGTTATACTTGGGAGGAAGATTGGGAAATGGGGTGGGCGTGTGAGACTCATTCGAATTCTTCTGTAATAGACAAAATCCAATGACAGCAGAATGTATTTTCAAGTATGGAGACAAACTCATATATGCCTCCCAAAGCAAGTCTTTAGGCAGCACTTCATAATTTTGTTTGATAATCTTGAAACACATTTCAAATCATCTACCATGTGGTTAATCTACTCAGGGAGGGTGGGTGGGAAGAGATCAACCAATGAACTTATATGCATTTATGCATAACCAGTGGACACAGACAATGGGGTGATGAGGACCTACCTGGGTGGGGTGGGGGGGTTGGCAGCATGCTGGAAGAGGTCAATGGGGGAAAAAGAGGGATTTCTGTAATACTTTCAACAATAAAGATAAATAAATAAATATAAGATAAAATATAAAGATAAATAAGTAAATAAATAAAATAAAAAAGATTTAACTCCACAAAGCATCTTCATTTTGTTTCAATTTTATGACAGTATTTCAGTTTTTTCTACTTTAGAGAAATAGTCTATTTTCCAGCATTGTGCTAGGTAGGATCTTTCACCTTCAGCACTATTTGAGTCCAGATAATTCTTTACGGTGGAAGCTGTCGTGTGCATTATAAACTGTTTAACAGCATCCCTGGCCTCTACCCAGTAGAAGTCAGTAGCACACTATTCCCACCAATTATGGCAACCAAAAATGTCCCTAGCCATTGTTAAATGTCCCCTGGGGGGCAAAATCACCCTCAGTTGAGAAACACTCTTCTAAAGTGATTTGCAATTTGTCTTTATAAAGTTAGCCAATGGTTGTGTGTGTGTGTGTGTGTGTGTGTGTATGTATGTATGTTTCTTTTTTACAGAAAACAAATAAAAGGTTGATTGCCTTTAAAAGGCTTCTCTATGACTTTCTTTTTTTCTTTATTGATTAAGGTATTACATATGTGTCCTTATCCCCCCTAAGACCCCCCCTCCCACTCATGCCCTCACCCCCCTGGTGTCTGTGTCCATTGGTTAGGCTTATATGCATGCATACAAGCCCTTTGGTTGATCTCTCCCCTTACCCCCAAAAGGTAGCCAATGTTTTAAAATCATTTTTTCTTGAATTAATTACACCTTGGTTAAGAAAAGACAAATGTAATAATTGAGTGAAAGTTGATCTCTACTGTGTAAGCTAAGAAACCTGATATTATTTCATTATAATTAAGCACTTTATGGAGCCTTAAGAAAAATAAATAGCATAATAGCAATGGAATAAATAGGAACTCACCATTTTGTCATATTCATAATAGGAGAGGTTTGTTTTGGTCAAAACAAAAAGCCGCTCTTTGTAATTATTTGGTGACATTTTCTTCTTTTGCTGTGACCTTTTGAGAAGAAGTTCTTCTAGAATGGATTTTGTATCCATACTGTCGTCCTAAATAGAATAATTAAAATGAGTATTTGCATCATCTAGCTAGGTTCTCTTTTACTTTCATAATTTTTATTCCACTATTTTTCATTCAAGGATAATAAAAATGATACAATTTTAAACGTTGGACTTAGATTTACAGAGGAAAAATAACTAAGCAGGCTCTTAACTAAACACACACATGCACATTTTTCCTACTGCTTTGGCTTTCACTTTTGTAAATATGCTTAATTTTTATAGCATTTAATGCATTTTACTCATCTTACTCTAGACCAGTGATGGCGAACCTATGACACGTGTGTCAGAGGTAACATGCGAATTCATTTTTTTGGTTGATTTTTCTTTGTTAAATGGCATTTAAATATATAAAATAAATATCAAAACTATAAATCTTTGTTTTACTATGGTTGCAAATATCAAAAAATTTCTATATGTGACACGGCACCAGAGTTAAGTTAGGGTTTTTCAAAATGCTGACACGCCGAGCTCAAAAGGTTCGCCATCACTGCTCTAGATCAGAAATTCATCATCTTCATACTATCCTCCAGACCACCTCATCAAAAATCTCCTTATTCCTTGCCCAGCCAGCATGGCTCAGTGATTGAGTGTTGACCTATGGAACAGCAGGTTATGGTTCAATTCCCTGTCAGGGCACATGCCTGGGTTGTGGGAGGCAGCTGATCAGTGATTCTCTCTGATCACTGATGTTTCTATCTCTCTCTCCTTCTCTCTTCCTCTCTGAAATCCATAAATTTTTTTTTAAATGTTCCCCTTATTTCTTGAGCATTCTATAGGCATTTGTTGAATTGAATTATATAGAATCCAACTTTTAAAAATTTGAACTCCACACAGCTCACCATATCTGAAGTAATTGATCAACTGAAATTTCTCATTTCTCTCCATTAAAGTGACCAGTTGTTTGACCAAATTATCCAAAGCACAGTGAGACTCTGACATCATTTTAAATAACACCCACAGCCCCTGATCATGATCAAATCTTTAACATAAAGGACATGGGTTTACTTTTCAATATTTCTGAAATAAAACACTTAAAATGATATCAAAAGAGATTTAAAAACTAAAAAATTGTACTTTATTAACTAAAAACACAATTTTTCTTCCCAAACCATGTAAAACATAAATATTTTCAGGAAATAAATTTATTAATTTTCTGGTTCTAAGATTATTGCTGCCACCCTTAGTCTGATCATGAAAAGTACTGGTCAGCAGTAGGGCACAAGAGAAACTTTCTTGTGTTCTTTGCTTTGTGAAATCACATCATTATTAGCAGTCACATGTCCAATAGTTACCATCTTTCTTTCTTTATTGACAATCTGAAGGTAATTAACTTTACTCACCTTACGTTGGAGAGGCTTGAAGTGTGCTTTAACTTTAACTCTGAAGCTCTAAGCAAAATGGAACAGCTCTGAGGCACCATCCCTCATATCCCCTCTGATTATGTCAGGGTCATGTATTAGAAGGTATTTGCATCCTATTTATCACTCTGGATCAGGAAGCACCCACATGGGCGTTGCTCTGTCTGGATGGAGGCAGATGCCAAGTGAACATGTCCAATCACTAATGGGAACTTCCTACTGGCCCAGGAATATGGTGGGTCCATGATGGCAGGGAGGTGGGAAGAATGGGAGACTAAGGAACACAGCTTGGCATTGAACAAACCATGGTCAGGCCCAGCCAGCTTCTGTCCTGACATGTACCATGACACACCTATTTTTCACCTTTGTTTCTATTAGAAACTCTACACATACGTCTGTTCAGATGAGATTATTTTCTATACCCAAAGTCCATGGCCCAAAGAGAATTTGTTTGAAGACTTATTGAAAATGTGAAGGGCCTACTTTTTGTGAGTTAAAGTCCCCTTTTGGGCATACTTATAGGGCACTTTTGCCTTTTACATTTAAAAATTGACTAACAAAGCAAAAAGAGAAAACTATGAAAATTCTTATCAAATGTCTTTTATATTCACAGCTAATACATTACTCCTCAAAGCCAGAGTGTTGGTTGTCTAGGTCTGGTTAGTAGAATAGAAAGATTACTTTTCAAAATATTTTAGATGCTGAATCAATTTGTAACAGTAAGAACAGTGTTTTGAAAATGCAAATCCCAGTGTCCAAAATAGTTCTCAGTCTTTCCCAGTACTGCATGATGATACACACACTTTTGTGTTCATAGATCTTTCGCATTCATCACATTAAAGATAGTGTTGGGGGTAAAGATAGTGTTGGGGGGAATTTTACCTAAAAAATTAATATGGTGAGTCACAGAAGTCACTGACAAATGAAATTCACAAAGTTGCTTCTGTCTATTGAAGGGAAGAACACATTCTCCAATAAATCTCCAAGGATTTATACATGTTGTTGTGTCTAAAGCAATATAATTTGTCAGATTTCAACAAAATTGTTCGTTCTCAAATCCTGTCCCTTTGTGAATTATTTTTGGCTTTCATTTAAAAAATTGTGTAATATATGTTTATTCTGCAAAGCCAAGAACTACAGACAAGCAAAAGGAAAAAAACCATCAACATGTTGGTAAACATACCTTTAGATTTTTATCAAGTATATACATGCTTATGTTTGTTTTTTAAAAAATGAGTTCACAATCTGGCCAGTGGCTCAGTTGGTTGGAGCATTAGTCCAGGCACCAAAAAGGTAAGGTGTGGGTTTGATTCCCAGTCAGGGCACATACCTAGGTTTTGGGTTTGATCCCTGGTTGGGGCTTGTTCGGGAAGCAAACGGTCGATCTCTCTCTCTCTCTCTCTCTCTCTCTCTCTCTCTCTCTTTTCCCTCTCTTTAAAAGAAAATCAATAAACATGTCCTCGGGGAAGGAAGGATTTTTTAAAAAAACAACTATGAGTTCACATACTGTGTATATGGATCTGTAATCTGTTGTTCTCATGTAATAAGCACTTGGAGCCACATGTCTTTGAAGTACTTCAAAATTCCATTCCCAAAACTGGATTCTCATTCTTCCTAAAAAACTTGAAGAACCCTGTTTAGGTGGCTCATACTTTTGTCATCTCCAGATGAGTTTCCTCTAAGACAATACCTGGTTCCTGCTCAAGTTTGGGCCTACCTTTCTCCTTCTATTTGCTTTTGTCTCTTTCTTGTATTTCTCTGTTCTATATTAGCCTAAATTCTAAATTGAAGACATTTCTCTAGTCTCCCTTGGTTTAGGAGGTGATAGTGAATGATGACTGATTTTTAGAAATGTAATCTCTCTTTACTTGTATTAGGACAATAAGTCAACAGGGCTCAGGTATCACTGTTGACTCAAATGCCTGTCCAAAGACTAGCAAACATAGCTCTGTGTATCCTTATTTAAGGGAAGTTCAGTTGGGAAGGTAAAAAAAAAAAAACACATTCAAAATAAAATGAGATCTTAAAGCTAGTCTGTATTAACCAGAAAGCTATTTCCATAGAGGATCTGGTAGGATTTGGCTGGAATCATATTACCAGCTACATAAAATAGACACATCAATTTGCCTGCCAAATAGCCCAAGCTACCTATTTCCATAAGCACATGAAACTAGAAAGAGATTAAAGTGCAGGGAGGGTGGCAACATTAAAAAAAAAACTTGACAGAAATCAATATAGTATTCTATAAGAAAGCCAGCAACCATTATATACCCTATAATATACATAAAGATGCATGCTGAATTAACATGACTTGGAATCACTAGAGTTATTTAGTATTTATGAGGAAATGATATGAGAGTAAGGAACTTAACTCTGTAGGTCTATTCAGCACACCTGAATTTGAGCCTCTAGTGTGCTTGGAGTGACAATGAACGTTTGAGAGCTAGGTTTCCCAGATGGTTAAGATGCAAAGTTTCTGTGGGGTGGTAGACTCGGAATGCGTGGAAGAGGTGATAGTACTTTCATTTGTGAGCTGTGTCTCCCTGACAAAGCCTCTTTCCTGCTACAGATGTCAGTTTTCTGATCTGTAAAATGAGATGGGCAACAGCTCTTTCACTTTATGTAACTTAAATGAGAAATCTTATGTGAAAATACCAGGCACACTGTGGATACCGAATCATGATTTAAAAAGAAGGTGGAAGGAATCAACTCACGTGCTAGAGCGGAGTCTGTTGTCTTTGCTATGAAAGGCTCAAGCAAGGGAATTTTTTTTCCCCTTAAGATAATCAAGAAAGATGTTATGGAATGATAACATTAAAATTGGACCTTGAAGGATATGCGTGATTGTAGTAATAATAATCCTAGCTAACATTTAAGGACTCACCATGTGGCAGGCACTACTTAAAGCACTTTAAAAATATGCTTTCAGCCTGGCTGGCAAGGCTCAGTGGTTGAACCAAGAGATCATGGGAAATTGAGGACCCTGTGACAAACTTATCTTCAAATATTTGCCCCAGGCCAGGCCTGCTTACCTTCCTGCTTAATAACTGAACAAAATATGATGGTACATTAAATAGGAACAAAAAGCTTAACTCAGAATCTGGTAAGTTGGTTCAAAGTGTAACTTTTAAGATTCTGGCTAAAGACAAATACCAGCTCCACTGAACCTGCCAAATGACTATTTCACATGATGTTATGTAGGAGAGAGAAAGCTACAATTGTCTTGGCATGATATAGACAGAAATCCTTTAACATTGACATGCAAGTTCTCAGCATTTTGAAACACCATATCTTAATTGCTCCAAAATGAATTTATGAAACCAGATATTTTAAGAAGTCCATTTTGCACAAAGAAGGTGAGCATTCCAATGCAATTTTTGTTGGAGCTAAAATTTGCATTAGGTATGAAATTCATATTTGGTGTCTAAGCCCTTCCTTCTTTTCAGCCACCTCTTTCCTTTTGCTCCCTCCCCTTTGTCAGGGCACTCCTCTGGGGACCTTACTTACCAGAAAAAACAAAATGTGATAGATCTATGTCCTAATACTTTATGCTGAATTAGTTTAACACATAGCACTGCTAAGGGAATACAGGTTGGTATGTGCAATAGCACCCAGCTCCGGTGGGTTCAAATCCCTGCTCTGTCTCCATGCAACCTGCCATGTTACTAAACCCTGCTAAACCTCAGCTTCCCCTTCTTAAAAGGAGTAAAAAAAATAACCACCTCAAAGGGTTAGGAGGAGTCAAGAGAAAATGTCGGTAAGATGCCTAGCACACTAATAGATGTTCCAGAAACCCATCATCACTCCATAGGCAAAATTTTAAAAGGTCCATAGCAAAGTTTAAAACAAAATGACCCTTATAACCCTACCCCCAAGCTCCTGGGGATAGGAGATAATGGGAGCCAGGAAGAGTCCCCATGTATTTGCTAGTCAATAAACACCTACTCTGCAGGTCTGTTACCATCCTTCAATCCTGGAACTGGACCTTAAAATCAGGTTGAGCCAGCCCTGTAGTGACTGTGTATTTGTGCCACCAGAGTTCTTATGAACCAATGTAAGATGCTACTTAAAATGCACTCCCTGGACTGGCAGCATCAGCGTCACCCGAGAGCTTCTTAGAAATGCAGAGTCTCAGTTCCCACCTCAGAACTACTACATCCGAATATTACTGAATTTTACTGAGACCCTCAGGTGATCTGTGTGCATAGGAGATTGTGAAAAGCACTATCCTAGACGACATTATAGCATACTGTTTTTTAAAATCCAATGAAATCATCACAGTCCACAAGAAATTTCAAAAGTCTGTGGATGTGAGCACACCTCATCAGCTTAGGGTTCACCTCCCTCACATCTTTCTATCTCCATCAAAAATACCCATTAGTCTCTAATTTAGAGAGGCTTCAGGAACCTAAGAACAACTATTTTTAGCTGAAATAAAATTATAAAAACAAAGAAAGCAAAAAGAAGGAATGAATAACATTTCTTTGCCTTTCAGAAGCAGTTATAAAGCCAATATGAAAAGTCACAGAAAGGCAATGCCTAAAAAATAATGAGAAAAATCAGAGGAAATAACAGAAAGCTACATGGAGCTAGTAGTGATATACACATAACTTGACAGCTGCCCTGAACAAGATTCTGAGCTGGTGAAGGGTGGGGGGGGAGACAGAAGAAGAGAATTACATGGTCCCATCCAAAGTCCCAGAGGAACCCCAGCAATTTCAAATTAATATTTTTTTGTACTTTTTAAGGCTGGCTCCCCAAATTTTGTGAACTTCAAGCTCTACAACACCCATATTCAAACCTGTGTTCCTGTAGGATATGACATTGCATAGCCATTTGCCCCTTAAACGCACCATTTTGGCTTGTTCCGATGCCCGGTCCACCGCAATGAAGTCAATCTGCTCTTGCAGGAACACAGCCTCAGCTGACCTCCTTCCAGCAGCAGCAAATTGTCTCACATTTTCCCTGCTGCCAGGTCAGAAATGGCTACATTACTCAGTGCCCCCAAAAGGTTTATTGTCCTGCAAGGCCTTACACAATCCCACAGGAAACCGCGCTCAACACTTAGCCAACACTTGTTGATCTGATTGAATGCAACAAAAACGGAGACAAAAGCATATTTCTTAAAGGTTCCAACTTTGATAACCAGGGCTCCTGCTTTTCCCAGGCAGCTCTTGGGTACATGTGATAACCCTGCCTTTGTTTATAGAACTCAAAGCTGGAAAGGACAAAAAAATATTTCTGCAAAACCCTACTCTGACTCTGACTTCTCTCACATGAGTCAGGAAACCGTGAGGTAACGCCAAAGTGTACAGAGGCTAAGCAATGAAAACTTCAACTCAACATTGGATAAAGGGAGGTGCTTTGTCATCTAGCTATTTATGCACCTCTCTACCCATCCATCTGTCCACCTAATCGGTATTACTACTACTACTACTACTACTACTATTACTACTACTAATTTTAGTGCAAAGTAAGTTGCTGGCATCAGTATACTTCATCCATAAACACCACAGTGTACAAAACATTAACTAGGGGTTAATTCAAATTAGCCTTTATTTTAACTCCAATACTATGATCTTGAAAGCAGTTTTCATTTGGCCAGAAGACACAACCTTATAAAAACTGAAAAATGAGAAAAGTTATCATGGTCACTGAGATAAGAATCAAGGGAATCATTCACCTAAATTTCTCTATTTCCCTGGTTCACAGATGAATTGGCCTTTCAGGGCTGAGAGTGTTGTGCTTGTGATGAATTCTAGGAAACTTCTGTTACTTAAAAGAAAGACTCATAAGCCATTCTTTTCTGGCACACTGCAAAAAGCACATGGGAAAGACAGGAACACAGTTGAGTTTTGTACAACAGATGATTACATGCAGCTTCTGAGCCAGAACCATGGTCGATGGAACAAACCAGGTCTGTGTAGATTGCTCTCACAAGAGTGGAAATGGAAGTCACGTATCCCCATCTTTTCTGTATATATTTGGGTGTCCTCAACCACCAACACATTAATGGCCTTCATAAACTAATGTTTACAAAATAATTAGTCCCAGACTTAGAACTAATTGATTTCCTGGGTTCAGTGAATTTGTATCCCTAGTATGGAACTGTCCAGAGATATTTGTCATTTAATGAACAGTAGCTACAGTGCCTTAGGAGGCATGTCACCAAAGCCTAATCAATCTGCAAGAAAGAATGTTTTAGTTTACTGCTTGAAGGAGAAAAAAATGTTGCAAATAATGAAATGTCCAAGATGTCCATATATTTCTATAAAATATATCTTTGAGAAGAAAGTCAATAAGTCATACAGAAGAGGAAAAATGTATTTTTTGAGTAAAGAGGAAAAAAGGTCAAATAAAATCTGTTGATTAGGTATCTTTAAAGATTATAATGCTGTAATTTGGAATTATTTAGGGAAAGCTCTCTTCATTGTCATATCAGCATGTAGTTTTCTTTGTTTCCCAGGGTTCCCAAGACCATCAATGGTCTATTTACCCACTCATATATCCAGCTGCCTGCTTTACATCTCTGTCTGGGTGGCAAATGACAGTGAGAAAAGTGCTTAAAGCTCTATGTCACATTTCTCAGCTCAAAAGTGAGTCCTCCTATAGTGAAATGTGACATGCCCCATATTCTATTTGTAAAAATTTGTCCCCTCCTAACTTTGTTTTTCCTCACTTTAAGTCTTTTAGTTTTTCAGGCCTGACAATGCATGCCCTTGGACTTGGCTTCTACCTGTCACTGGATTCTCAAAGAGAAGAAAGGGAAGCTCTTACTCCTATTACAGTTTCGAAGGTGGAAGGGATTCTGAGGCTCAGAGGCAGCTTTAAAAAGGTGATAAACTGAGAACCTCCCCAAGAGTATTACACATCCAGTATAGAAGTGGGTAAAAATGTACAGCGAAGTCATTCTCTCCTGTTTTCTTTTGTTATGAAGTTGTCCCTGTGAATGCTACTTGTAACAGAGGAGCCTTTTGGGACACCTGAACTTCCAAGGTTAATGCTATGGCCTGTGGGATTCAACATTTAATCTCTCAAGTCTAGTTTAATAATTGTTGATCTTGCCCAGCCGGTGTTGCTCAGTGGTTGATCATCAATCTATGAACCATGAGGTCATGGTTTGATTCCTGGTCAGGGCACATGCCTGGGTTGCGGGCTCCATTCCTAGTTGGGGGAGGGGGGAATGCAGGAGGCAGCCGATCAATGATTCTCTCTTATCATTGATGTTTCTATCTCTCCCTCCCTCTTCCTTCCTCTCTGAAATCAATAAAAATATATTTTAAAAAATAATTGTTGATCTTGCTGGATTGCTAGTTGCCCTGGTAATAACATTTAATTGGATATCTCTGCTTTCTAATAGGGTAAATATTTGTAAGAGTTTTCCTTTAGCCCAGAGAGCTTTGAAAATCTACCTCATCTCTCCTGTCATATAAAATCATATTTTCCAATTATCACAAAACAAATGACTTGGAAACGGAGTGGCTTAAAATAACCATTTTTATTTTCTCACAATTCTGTGGGTCTGGAAGTGGAGAAGGACCAGTTGGGTATTCATGTTTCATTAGCTGGGTCAGCTGGGGCAAGAGGACCCATTTCCAAGATGGCTTCTTTGTCTATATATCTGGGTGTTCATGTCCTTGGCCTCTGTCTCTTTATTTACATGGCATTTCTTCCTCCAGGACCTCTCCTTTATGTGGCATAAAGGGGATCAAAAGAGGGATAATTCATAGGCTTCTCTTAGAATGGTAGTCTCAGAGCCATTGCTCTTCTTCCAAGGTAGCTGGTTTCCAAGAGGCAGGAAGCAGAAGCTGCCAGGCCATTTCAGAATCACACCCAGAATTGGCACAGTGTCACTTCTACCATTTTGCATTGGTAGAACAGCCACAAGCCCTGTCTAGACTCAAGAGGAAGAGAGGTAAGCTCCGCTTGTGATGGGGGAGATTATCAAGGTCACATTGCAGAAAAAGTCATGTCGATGGGAAATACTGTTGGGGCCATCTCAGGAAAATAGAATTTTCCAAAGGATGATAAACAGTGACTGGTTAACAATTGGTAAATGTAATGATTACTGTGTCAAACATCTCACCCAGACTTGAAGGGACAGAAAGGGAAGTTTTCCCAGAGGAGTGATATCCCAACTGAGAGTTGAAAGATAAATGGGGATAAGCCAGATCAGTAGAGAGAAAGTTCCAGACAGAGTCACAGAAAGCCAACAAGAGAGAGAATGCACATCCCCAAACCTAAAAGAAGTTCAGCATTTCAGCATGGTGGAAAGAGGGGATGCCTGTGTGTGTGTGTGTGTGTGTGTGTGTGTGTGTGTGTGTGTGTGTGTGTGTCTGTCTCAGTTTGTCCTTTAACAAGTGTGGAGGGTGAGGCCAGGTTAATGACATCCTAGTATTTTCTCTTGAGGAAAATGAAGGCTTTAGGCAGTTATTCCATTTCCCTGCGACTTGGAGAATGAATTGGCCAGTGATAGGCCTGAAGGCAGGAAGAGTGCAGTGGCTAATAGAGAAGATGGATGGTAGCAATCAAATTGTGAAGGAATGTATGCATTTAAGAGATTGAAGGCAGAATTCATAGGATTTCAAGATGAAAAAATGAGAAAGCTTGTGTTTCAGGCTCAGCCAACTGGCTAAATATTAAACTTTTTGGGGGAAGGAAGACAGAGCATTTACTAAAGATTGCAAAGTGCCAGATAGAAAGCCCATGCTTCTATTTTATTTGGAGTCAGTTACAGACGTAAGTAAATGATGATATAAGGCACATTATTTCATGGCATTTTTAATGCTTATGTGTATTATTTAATTTAGCTTGAATCATCTAAGTAAGGTGGGGAGGGGTTTTGAGCCCCACTGACATAAGAAATCCAGGAGAAGGTCCTTGTTCCACTACTAACCTCTTTTAGAGCAGGGATCTGCAAACCAGGTCTGCAGCCACATCTGGCCCACTGTCTAGTTTTCACTTAGCCTGCGAGCTAAGAATGGTCTCTACATTTTTAAGTTGTGGAAATAAAAAAATCAAAAGAGGGATAATATTTTGTGACAAGTGAAAATAATATGAAATTCAAATTTCAGTATCCTTATTTAGGTTTCATTGAAACAGCCACCCATTTCTGGTATTTAGAAGACAGAAACATACCTGGTACCCCTGGTTAAGAATCCTAGCAATGTAATCTCACTTTATATAAAATCTAATGAACAAAAAAACTGATGAACAAAATAGGAACAGTCATGGATACATGAAACAGACTGACAAATGTCAGAGGGGAGGGGTGGAGGGGACTGGATGAAAGAAGGTGAAGGGATTAGGCAAAGAACATATATGCATAACTCAGAGACACAGACAACAATGTGGTGATGGCTAGAGGGAAAGGGGGTTCAGGGTTGGGTGGAGATGGGCAAAGGTGGGGGATTTGGGGACATGTGTAATAGTGTCAATAATAAAAATAAAGGAAAAAAAAAAGAATCCTAGCAATGGATTAAAAAAAAAAAAAAGAATCCTAGCAATTAACTAGATCCCTTCACTGGCTTCTGTAACTCCACCTTCCCCCTGGGAAAACTCTCCAATGCCTCCTCCTACTTCTTTCTAAGTGGCAAACAGCACACAACTTATTTATGTAACAAACGATTGTATAGTGCTAGGGACCGGCCAAGCTCATTTCATTTTCATCACAACTGTAAGAGGTTCTATTGTATGATCATCAACATCCCCATTTTACAATGGAAGAAACAGTGTCTGAGCCACCTGCAAAAGGTCACAAGGCTAACAAGTGGTGGAGCAGGATTCAAACCTGGACAGTCATGCTCTGTGGGTTGTATGGCAAGCAGACTCCAGTTTAAGAGAGGTTTCCTACTGAGTCCATCTGGGACCTTCACCATAATCAGGGCACTTCTCAGGCCAACACATTCCTCTGAGGGTCCAGTCCCGCCCTCCCTCCACTTCCGGCTCAGGGGCGCATCTCTCCCAGGTGGGAGGGGCACAGAGGCCAAAGGGCAGCAGAGCTGGCAGGGGGGAGGGAAGGGCGGAGCGAGAGCCTCTGCAAGACCACGTGTCAATGAGGAGTATCGCCCCTGCCCAGGCCCTGTGAGACCTGTGAACTCCTGCCTCCCGCCTCTCTACAGCAGCAGCGAAGTGCTGAGTCACGATGAGACGGGTTCCTCCGCGCCCTGCACGCCTCCTCCCTGCGCTCCAGCCCACTGCCGGAGCTCACATTGCTGCACAGACTCTAGCTGTCGCCATGTGAGTACCCGGGTGCTCACTGGGTGGGTGGTGGGGCGCGTGGGGGGTGGGGGTGGGGATGCAGGGCAACAGGGATCAGCACCCAGCCCCTCCTGCTTCTGATGCCTAGGGAAGTCTCAGAGGGAGATGACTAGAGATGCTGTGTAGTACTTTGCAATTTGGTGAAAGTGGTAGCCAGCTTTTCTTTCTGAATTCTAGGAGCCTGGAAGGACCCAGAAATAGTCTAGATGGAGTCAAAATACTTTTGAATTGCTTGTAGGTGATTATTGTTCGTTCTGTACAGCTTTGAAGCTTGAGAACTTCTGTTTCTCACAGTCCAGCATCCAATAAATATTGATTACCTGCTCCTCTTAGTGAGCCTTGACTGACAGGGGAGGGGAATTGCCAGGTAGAGTGCTCAGAGCACTGACTGCACTCCTTTGAGGTAGGCAGTCTTATCACTCCTATTTTGCAGATGGAAAAACTGAGGAAGGAGAGAATTAGCAGTTGGCCTTAGGCCACACAGATGATAAATGGGGAAGTTGGGATGCAAACCCAGGCTGTCTGGCTCCAGGGTTTATGCTCGTAAAGCATCAGTTGGTTTGAGTGGGAATCTTTGAAGGAATGGATTATATTTCTCTTGAAGAAGAGCTTTAGGGATTGAAGTTACTATCTGCAAGCATTTGAAGAGGAAAAGGGATTTGTTCTGTGCTCGGTCCTGAAATCCTGGATGCATTGCCAAAGGTACCTTCTCTAGGAATTTCCTGTGCTCTTGAAGACTTCATGAGAAAGCCCAAAGATTTCTTGCCAGAAATGTTGGTCCTGGACTTCAGGGATAGATGGGTCTTTGAATTTGATAATGATCCTCAAAGATCCCTTTCAATGCCACTGTCTTCAGCATCTAGAGCAGCCGTGGGCAAACTATGGCCCTGGGGCCGGATCCGGCCCGTTTGAAATGAATAAAACTAAAGAGAAAAAAAGACCGTACCCTTTTATGTAATGATGTTTACTTTGAATTTATATTAGTTCACACAAACACTCCATCCATGCTTTTGTTCCGGCCCTCCGGTCCAGTTTAAGAACCCATTGTGGCCCTCGAGTCAAAAAGTTTGCCCACCTCTGATCTAGAGAGTCACAGACATCTTGTTTTTTTCTCTGTGTTCCTGAGTCACCATGTGAAGCTCTCTCAGCCTGGGGGGGGGGAGAGAAAAGGGGAGAGCAGTCTGAGAAATTTCAGTGAGGTAAAGCAGATAAAGTGCCCATACTAGTATTGCTAAACCTTGTAGAAGATGGCTGTAGGATCATATGAGATAACAGTAGTAAATAATTAGTAGCTAGGAACCAAGTAAGTATTCAAACACATTCGTTCACCATCATGACTGCTGTTTAAATCACCTAACCCACATCTCATATATAGGAAGCAATCAATAAATTAGTATTTTGGGCATGATTGATTTTTTTTAAAATATATTTTATTGAGTTTTTACAGAGAGGAAAGGAGAGAGATAGAGAGTTAGAAACATCGATGAGAGAGAAACATCGACCAGCTGCCTTGGGCATGATTGATTTTAATATCCTTTATTTTGCAGTCCTTAGCTGTGACTTAGGACTTAGTGACTATTTTTTTGTTCCCCCCTGCCTTTTGCCCTCCAGCCTCTACAGTTCAGCATCAGAACAGTTCCTTTTAAGACTGCAACATGGTGTCCTCCAAGAAAGTCACCCTCTCAGTGCTCAGCCAGGAGCAGTCAGAAGGGGTTGGAGCAAGGGTCCGCAGAAGCATCGGCAGACCTGAGGTATGTTGGTTTGGTGGCTGTTTTGTGCTTTTTTGAGGAAGGGACTGGTAGGACACGGAGGGCAAACTTGGGAATAGCGGGCCCAAAACCAACATGAGCTGCTTTGTGTGGGGCCATAGGAGTCAAGTGTAGATCTGGCATTTGTGGTCCCCTACGGACTAACTCCAACCAAAAGGGGATTTCTGTATTGTGGATATAGAGGTCCTGAGCAGAAGGTGTAGATGAGCTTAATGAAATGTCTCTGCCTCTCTCTGCATACCCACATCCCACCAGCCTCAGCATGCGTATTAGCAGACGTGCCCGCTGTATGCCCTCAACTCTACATGCCTACAAGTAAAAGTACAAGGGGCTAACTCTGAGTCTCAGTTCCAAATTCCTAAGAGAGAGAATCTGATTGGATTGGCATGGGTCAGGTCTATACCCTTGGCCAGTCAGCCATTGCCAGGGATTTGGGTTCATAGGGAGACTGCTGGGACCCAACACTGTGGTCCTTTTGTGGTGGTGGAGGTAAGTAGGGGCTATCAGAGAAGGCAGCTATAGGTTATGTAGATGTTTTTCAACATTAGAGAGCTCTTTCATTTGAAAATTATGGGAAACATGGGACTTGTGGAAAAGAAAATCTTATGTGCCCATTAAATAATGGCTATAACCCAGGGAGTACTGTGCCCAGCACCCTACCAGATTAAAAAAAAAAAGAAACCAAAAAGTTTTTTGAGGTATTAGTTTCAGGTGCAACATAATGATACAATATTTGTATATATAGTGAAATGATCACCACAATAAGTCTAGATAACATCTGTCACCATACATAGTTACAAATTTTTTTTTTCTTGTGATGAGGACTTTTAAGATATATTTTAGCAAATTTTAAATATGCAATACAATATATTACCTATAGTCACCATACTGTATATTACATCCCATGTAGGGCAATGGATTCATTTTGAAATGTTTGTTCCTCTTAAAATCTGCTCTGATATTCTCATACTCTTTCTATCATTAGCTTACTTTTTAACTATGAATAACTTTTGAGGTCCATCAACATTGTTTTCCAAAAGATAGATGCAAACAGGATTATCCTAAGGGATTATTAAATGCACAATGGATGTTGGGAGATGCAGGTGGATGTGGTGTCATATTCTATTAGGCCACATCACCAATAGAACAGATGTAAAGAATTTGGACACCTATCAGTAAACCCATTATTATTTGTTGAGGGTAGTTAATACTTTAATTACTCCATCTGTCAGGAACACATCTGCTGAGGGTTCCTACATTGTTTTTGACTTGTGAACCCCTTTTGGTGGTTTGGTGAAACCTATCAATTCCTTTTCAGAATATTGTTTTTTAAATGCATAAAATACATAGGATTGCAAAGGAAAACTTTATGTTTAGCAAAATATTATAAAACACATTTGTAATCTAATAGTTTTACATTAAACAGCAAGACTTGGTGGCAGTTCTAACTACCTAATTTCAAAGTTGTTAAAAGCATGAAAAATAGTTCAATATACCTGCAACAACTGTAATATGAAATGTAAATACCTTTGATTTGTATTGGTGACAAAGTCACAGGTACTAGTATTTTACTGTGATTCTTTTACTACATTCATAATTGAAGCAAATGTCAAAATTTCAGACTGGAGATGGATGATGGTGACTGTTGCACACCAATGACAGTGTGCTTAATGCCACTGAACTAATACTTAAAAATGGTTAAAATGGTAACATTTATGTTATGTATATTTTACTACAAAAAAAAAAAAAAAGAAAATTTCAGTTAGAGGTTAGGGAAAATAAGGATATACTCTTTTTTCCTCAGCCAAGTTCACAGCCACCCTGAATTCTACACCAGTTAAGAGTCCCTGGCTCACAACCTATGCTTTAAAGACCCAAACATCTTACCTAATAATAGACAAACATGTAAATTGACCATACCTTCACTATGCTAACCAGCCAATCAGGAGAGTATGCAATTAACCTAACAAAGATGGTGGTTAATTTGCATACATAGGCTCCCAGCGGTGGAGTGAGGCCTGACAGCTCCAGGGCTGGCGGAGCAGCGAAAGCCTCATGGCCGCGGGGCCAGCGGAGCAGTGAAAGCCTCATACCCGCAGGGCCAGCTCCGGCTGGAGCCTGGCCAGAGCGAAGGCCTATGTGCCGGGTGCCAGAGGAAAACAGGTGCCAGCAGCCAGAGGAAAGGAAGGCCTAATGCAAGAATCTCTTCATGCAACAGGTCTCTGGTCTATCTATATAAAAGCCTAAGTGACCATCACAACTGAACAGACGACCAAACAGGCTGTGTGGGGTGACCAGGCTGGCAGGGGGGTTAGTGAGGGGCTATCAAACGACTGAGCAGCAGGCTGCATGGGGCCTCCAGGCCAGCATGGGGGTTAGTGAGGGGCGACCAAACAACCGAGCAGCAGGCTGCATGGGGTGACCAGGCCAGCGGAGGGGGGGGGGGCAGTGAGGGGCGAGCAAACCACTGACTAGCAGGCTGCATGGGGCGACCAGGCCAGCAGGGGGGTCTGTTGGGGGCAATCAGGCTGGTGGGGGGGGCAGTTGAGGGTGATCAGGCTGGCAGGCAGAGGCAGTTAGGGGTGATCAGGCCGGCAGGGAGGCAGTTAGGGGCAATCCGGCCAGCAGGGGGGGCAGTACGGAGCGATCAGGCTGGCAGGCAGAGGCGGTTAGGGGTGATCAGGCTTGCAGGGGGGTCAGTTAGGGGCAATCAGGCAGGTGAGCAGTTAGGAGCCAGCAGTCCAGGATTGTGAGAGGGATGTCTGACTGCTGGCAGTTGGACATCCCCCAAGCGGTCCTGGATTGGAAGAGGGTGCAGGCTGGGCTGAGGGGACCCACCCCATCCCCTGTGCACAAATTTCATGCACCGGGTCTCTAGTTTTACATATAATCATATATCTTACCTCATGGTGATTATATAGAATGTACATTTGTATGTCAACAATAAAATAAAATAAAATAAAACCAAAAAAATCTTTCAGTAGATTGTTGAATTTGTGTGCGTATGTACAATATATGTTACATATATACACCTGTATGATATACATACACATGTGGTGTGCACCAATAGATAGTGAAAAGAAGAGTCAAAACCAGAGACAGAGTCAAAGAAAGCATTTGATACTTTCAGGTCTAACAATATGACAGAGTAGATACCTTGAAATAAACAAACAAACAAACAAACAAATAAAATTAATTAGGTAGCAAAACAAGCCAGACAAAGAAAAATACCATATGATTTCATTTATATGTGGAATCTAAAGAGCAATATAAATGAACAAACAAAACAGAAATGGACTCATGGTTGCCAAAGGGGAGAGGGTTGAGGGCTGGGTTAAAAAGGTGAAGGGATTGACAAGTACAGATTGGTAGTTACAGAATAGTCTTGAGATGTAAAGTACAGCATAGGACATATAGGGGAATATACTATAATTATGTATAGTCCCAGGTGGGTACTGGAAATATCAGGGAGAGCATAATCCCATTACAGCAGTAATTTTCAACAGTGTGCGGAAATATTTAAAACATGCAATGCCTGACTAGTTAGGAGAACTGACCTCTTGTCCCTGAAATTGTCAAATTTAAAAATTATAACCTCCAACATAACAGTAGCCATCAGATGTGAATGAATCACAGTTACACCTATTTTTTGCCAGATCAGCAAAAAATATATTTTTGGTGTGCTACAGAAGTTTAGTAATTACTTTATGTGTGCCATGAGATGAAAAAGGTTGAAAATTGCTGTATTACAAGGAGGGAGGAAATATTCCAATTAACACCCATCAGCAAATAACTTTTTCCCCTCATTTTTAAATCTTTATGCTTTCTATTCCTTTTTCTTCTTTTTGCAAGCTAGCACCTCTACAACAGAGCTGAGTAGAAATGATGGTAATAGACATCCTTATCTTGTCCGTGATTTTACGGATTGTTTTTAAAGTTTCACCAGTAACCAGGTGGTTCAATGCAGGTTTTCTGTAGATCTCTTCATAAGGTTGAGGAATTTTCCTGAGTCCCATATGGAGAGTTTAAGTTCCTCCCTCCCTAACTTTGGACTTGCCATGTCATGTGCTTTGACCAATAGGATGTGTTAATGTGATTGTGCACCATTGACTTGGCTCATTTTTGCTCTTGACCTTGGCTGTCAGAAAAGCATCTTCTTGATAGTGACCACTGTTAACGCTTGGGACCCAGAATGAGAAGACATGCAGAGGCCAGCTAAGCTTAGCAACCTGCTACAGCTTTAATGCAAATGAAAAATTTGTTTGTAAGCTTCTGGGCAAAAGCTTATTGATAAATATACACAGATTCTGTGAATATTTGCAAAGAAAACCCAAAGAAACTACAGATAAATTGTTAAAATTAATAAGAGCATAGAAATATTCAAAATTGCCTTTCTATCCACATTTCTTATCCCCAGAAGCAAACTGTTCAAAAATATAATTTAAAAATATTATTTATAATACCTTTAAAATGATATTATCTAGAAAAAATTATGCAAAATCTTTGTGGAGAAAATAAATCCTATTCAAAGACATTTTCAAAGATCTAAACTGGAGATAACACAATATTATGTAAATGTGCATTTTTCCCAAATTGGTTCTTAGATTCAGAGCAACTCCAATCTGTTTCTACCTCTCATTTGAGCTTGATATTTATCTTCAGTTGTCTTCTAGCTTTTGCACAATATACTGGACATTAAATATTTAAAGTTCCATTTATACAGATAACATTTATGTAGATAGCGCAAACTCAATGTGAACTAAAATGAAGTCACCATGGCTGCTTTTACTATATTCCTTGTGTTTCTGGATGGCCTTGCCATCCTCCCAGGCACCATAGCTAGAAGTTTGGGAATTATCTAATGCTCTTTCTTGTTCCCATTCTTCATCACCACTGCCATTGCCTTAGGCCTGGCATTTCTCCTTGCCTGGACTATTGAAGTGACTTTCTAAATACTCTTTGTCTCCGTCCTCTTCCTTTCCTAAACCACCTTCCACATGTGTGCTAGAGTGATCTTTCTAAATCTGATTATCGCAACCTCTGATTATAATCCATCTTCTTAAAGATAAAACCCAAACTTCTTTAAGGTTTGACCTCTCTCCTCAGCCGATCTCTCATCATAATTCTAGGTGCATCCTTTGCCCCAATAGAGTCATTTCCTTGTAGTTCTTCAAGCTTGCCAAGCTGTGTCTTTGCTCTTTTTCTTGGAATAATCTTCCTTCTCCCCCTTCTACTGAACTGCTACATATACTTCAAGACCCAGTTTAAGTGACATCTTCCCTGATCCTGCCCCACTCATGTGTAATAAAGTGTCTTCCTCTAGAGCATTTATCAACACAGTGCAATCAGTGACTTTCTAGTCTGTTCCCCCATGAGATTATCAATCTGTTTAGGATACAGACTCTATCAGTTTCTGCTGGATTATTTAGATCTTAGATGATTAAGAAATGTTTGTTCACACTTCTCATAAAATGTCAATTCTAACTTAATCAGTGAATCTGTGTGTGTGTGTGTGTGTGTGTGTGTGTGTGTGTGTGTGTGTATTTCTTTTCTGAAAGCAATTTTCATTTCAATAAGTTGCTCATTGGCTATGTGGTTTTTAGTGAATTCTTCTAGATCGGTTCATGAATGTGGTCCCTAGTAGTGTGGCTTAAAAGGCATGCCTAATTTGCTGAATTTTATTTTTATTTCAGTTAAAAAATCTGGATCCATTTTTGCTGTTTGATGAATTTAAAGGTGGTAGACCAGGTGGATTTCCTGATCACCCACATCGAGGTTTTGAGACAGTAAGTAAAATAATTTAACTGCAAAAGTGTGTATTTTAAAACTTGCCTCTTTTTAAATTTACTAATCATTTTTAATGATAAATTCAACTTCTGAAGCAATGGATATTGGCAAAAATTAATTTATAAGTTCCTGGCTATTGACTGGCTATTAGTGAATTGTAATATCTATTTTACACGACGTATACCCAAATGGGTATATTTACTGATTTTTAATATTCTTTGCATTTATAACACTGGAGACATTCCTATTCAAGCAGTTAAGAGCAAGAATTGACTTCTTAAAATATTTATATAATTAAAATTTGTTGGAGGTAGGAGAAAAACTTTAAGATATGATTAAAATAATTTTATATTTAAAACTTGTTTCTCTTCAAGAATATTCAGAAATAACCTCATGTAATATAATAGTTTAAACCCAAAAGACAGTCTAAGATCACTCTGAGTATTTAAACTCAGTTGTAAGTTTATATAATCAAGGTGGTTAAAATAGAACATAGCCTAAAAATGAGAATTTTAAGGACATACATATACATTTACAAAGTTAACTGTAAAATTTATAGAGATTCTGCTGCAAATTTGTTTTCAGTTTTAGATATAGAAATAGAAATGTGTAATATAATATTGCGGCACTTTCAAAAATTCCTGTTCTCCACATATACATATATTCTGGAAAAATACCAGGATAGTTACAAAGTTTAGCCATCTGCTCCTTGAGAAAAACCAGTAATTTTGGGAACATACCGGGGCTTGTTAAAGATTTAGTGTGTTTGTCAAGCCAATTATTAAATGAGTAAATATTTATTGAAAGCTGGTGGCAAGCAGGCATTGGTGTTGAGTAATCTTTTGCATACTAGTGTGTGTGTTTGTATGTTGGGGAGTGTGGGGAGAACACAGAGAGAGGGAGGCTAGCAAAGAATGAGGCCTGACCATTGATTGCCTCCAGTATGCAGTCTAGTTAAGGAGGCAAAAGATGGACAGGTAAACAGTTCACCATTATAGGGATGAAGCAAGAAGCTTCTGGAAATACGTAGCATGAATGATCAAAGTAGTCAGGTCTCCCTTCGTCATTTAGCCATTTGCTTTCCAGTTTCTTTTTCATTCCTTTCACCTACCCTATACTCTTGCTGGATTCTGAGCCAGTTCCAAATCATATGTCCCCACTGTGCTCTTCTGCTACTGGTATGAAGACATTCTCACCATCCCATCCTATAGCTCCAGTTACCATTTTGCTAATCTTTCATCGTCTTTTCAAATATTATTTTCTCCATCAGGCTTTCCAGACAATCCCAAGTAGATGCACTTTCTCCTTCATTTGGTCTCCTTAGCATTATATTTTTTACTGGGTTCATGCACATCAGAATATTAGGTCTCTATGGTGACCCCAATCATATCCTGTCTGTCTTGAATTGGAGGCGGCAATTGAAGAATTGCCTTAATTGCCACCTCCCTTGGCCATGCCCAAGAGGACTGTAAATTGCTTCAGCTGAGATAATCCCACACATCTCCATGTTTTCCAGTTGGATATACTCCACAACTACTGGCTAAATTTAACTGAATAATAAAAAGAGATGGCTTTTCCTTAAGACAATGACTATATAAAAGGACAAAATACATTGCTCTCCTCTCCGTTATGAAAAGGGGGACTGCTATAATTTGTAAGGTACTCAACTTTAAACTACTCAAGGAGTTTAGCTGTAGAATATTGGTATTTGATTTTTTTCTTTTGAGTAAGAATCTTCCTTAAAAATATATTCATGCCGAAACCGGTTTGGCTCAGTGGATAGAGCGTCAGCCTGCGGACTGAGAGGTCCCGGGTTCGATTCCGGTCAAGGGCATGTACCTGGGTTGCGGGCACATCCCCGGTGGGGGATGTGCAAGAGGCAGCTGATCGATGTTTCTCTCTCATCGATGTTTCTAACTCTCTCTATCTCTCTCCCTTCCTCTCTGTGAAAAATCAATAAAATATATTTAAAAAAAATATATTCATAACTGTAGTCGATCCTCATTATTTTGAGGATTCTGTATTTATGAATCATCTACTTGCTAAATTTATTTGTAATCCCAAAATCAATACTTTTAATTCATGGATGTGCACAGACAGGCCCAAGGTGCATGTTCCCAGCTGAGGATGAACAAGGTGATGCTCTGCTTCCTGTTTCAGCTCTCATACTGTAAACAGGTGTCCTCCTTGAGGCCTATTTAATGTCACATTTTTTACATGTTAGTGCTTTTTTTTTGTTGGTTAATTCACTGTTTAAAATGACCTCCAACTGAAGTACAGTCTGGTGTCCCTAAGTGCAAAAGGCTGTGAGGTGCCTTATAGAGAAAATACGTGTGTTACATAACCTTCTTTCAGGCATGAGTTATAGTGCTGTTGGCTAAGAGTTCAATATTAATTAATCAACAATATATGTTAAATAAAGTGTCTTTAAATGGAAACAAATATAAAACAAGGTTATGTGTTGGTCAGTTAACGAAAATGTGGCCAGAAGCTTGTAGGATCACATTCCTGTGTTTCTCTAGAAGCAGTGGCTCAGTGTTTGCTAATTCAGTGATCATGGCACCTTTAATAGAATATTACTACTAAGAGTAACTAGAATCAACTGTATCAGTTTCCCCCAGGAGTGTAGATAAGCCAAGGAGTCATCTCGGTCTTAATATAAACTTTAAAAGTATGCAATTTAAAACCAGTTCCACTTGTAGGCTGGTATTGCCTCCTTTGTCTTCAGCAAGGGAGCATCCCCGAAAGGAGTTACATATGTTGTGTCTTTCCACAATGCCAGGTTTATTAGGGGAGACTGCCCCAATAAGCCAATAGAGTCACACACAGGTTACACACAGAGAGGGGGAGCTTATGCGATAGAAGCGAGAGAGCAAGTGTCCAGAGCAAAGTCCCAATCACTGGCAGTGTCTGCAGGTAGAGAGGTGGGCAGGGGTCTTAAGCCAGGTGGCAACAGTGGCAGCACACGCCCGGTGGTGTGAAGTCCAGCAGGGCTCTGACTATGACCCATGGTATGGCCAAGCTCAAGCATTGGGTGGTGGGAGCTCTGAGTTCTTATAGCCCACAAAGGGTAGAGATCCCATTCATATTGGTGTCCCTATGGAGTCCGTATCCAAGTGTCCAGACTTGTGGTTTTGGGCATTCTAGGCCCTCCATAAGGGCATTCCCATTACACCCCATTACCTGTCTTTTGTTTGTTTGTTAATCCTCACCTAAGGATATTTTTCCATTGACTTTTTTAGAGAGGGAGAGGGAAAAAGAGAAACATTAATGTGAGAGAGACACATCGATTGGTTGCCTCCTGCATGCACCCTGACCAGGGCTGGGGAACCTGCAACCAAGGTACATGTCCTTGACCAGAATTGAACCCGGGACCCTTCAGTCCACAGGCTGACGCTCTATCCACTGAGCCAAACCAGCAAGGGCTCATTACCTCAGTCTTGGCACAGCACTTGACATAACTAACAGTCATGGCTCACTGACTGCATATTGAATTGTCAGAGAGGTCCAGCAAGTCTGTTCTGCTCTTGCTCTATACATCCCTGGAGCATTTTCAACAGGCTTGCTATAAATTTTGAAAATGCTATTAGTACAAAGAACAAAGTTAGAATTACTTCTTAAGTTATCTTTCCATCCAGAAGTAGGTATTGTTATTGTTTTAATGTGTTTTCTTCTAGTACTTTCTTCTGGTATCATGCTGTATATGTTTTGTGTCTTTTTTAAACTTAACATTATACTCTTAGCATTTTCCCAATATTCTTCAAAAAGCAAATCTTTACTGGCTTTATTAAACATCTGTTGTGAAGGTTGTATCAGTTGACATGACTGCAATGATGTATGAGGGTACCTGTTTTCCCTCAGTATCACCAACACAATATATTTACCCAACTTCTCTTTATCTTTGATGTTTTGACAAGTGAAAAATAATGCCTCATGATAGTTTTAATTTGTATTTCTTTTATCTGAGTGAAGTGATTAACTTTTCATTTTTAAGCATTTGTTTACCATACATATTTATATCCTTGCCCTATTTTTTTCTGTTGGTTTGCTGGTATTATTATTATTATTTTTTAAAATATATTTTATTGATTTTTTACAGAGAGAAAGGGAGAGAGATAGAGAGTTAGAAACATCGATGAGAGAGAAACATCGATCAGCTGCCTCCTGCACATCTCCCACTGGGGATATGCCCGCAACCCAGGTACATGCCCTTGACCGGAATCGAACCTGGGACCCTTCAGTCCGCAGGCCGACGCTCTATCCACTGAGCCAAACCGGTTTCGGCTGCTGGTATTATTTTATAGAAGCTCTGTTTATAGTAAGGAAATCAGGCCCTTTTCAGTGATAGGATTTTCAATAGTGTTAGGAGGGATTAGGCTTGTTTTGCATACCTCTAAAGGTAAACCTTTGGATACAAAGCATAGAATCAAACCAAAAGGACGAACTTTATAACAATTCATTATGCGGAGGTAGAACAGCCTCCCTGAGTTGAAGTTTGTATTTCTGGGAAATACAGACATGCACTGAATGTTAACATAATGGATGTGTTACCAGATTCAGTGTTCCTTAAAATGGTTGTGTACTACATGAGTCAGTGCTGTGCTGGAATAAAAAAATATTAGAGCTCAGAAGGATTTTTAAAATAAGAATGAAATTACGCTGTACTAACACATGAATATAAAATATAAATAAATACACATATTTTGAGTCCATGCTCATTTTTAAAATTAATAATGATACACAATCAAAGAAATGTGGAGAATATTATTCTACAAAATTCTTATTACCTCAATGTGATGGGTATGCCTGGTCTCACCTGGAACCTCAGGCTCCTCCTGAGATTTACTAAGTCAGAACCTGCATTTTAAGAACATCCTCAAGTGACTGATGTGCACACTAACATTTGAGAAGTGCTCTTCTAGATGACTTTGCAAATTAGAGATATTGTAATTCTATGAGATAAGAGAAGCTGATTTTACTGAGTTAATGTTAATAATTT